AGTGAACGCCAGACCTACGTCATTTTATAAAAGCTGAAAGTTTGTCAGCGTATACTCCCAATTTAGGATATAATGTTGGTGAATTATGAAGTTTGGGTCATCGTGGCTTTGGCAGCTACCTTAAAAAAACTGTCTGGTAAGGAGTTGAAACTGTCAAAACTGTATGGCTGAGAGGGAAACTACTTCTAATTATTGCCCAAATATGATTTATAAAAATCAGCTTCTATAGTTTAACGTAAGTCTAACTTTTACGGTGACTTTTTCTGTTTAATCAATAGACTGTAATTCTACTAACGTTATACCATAAAATCTGATTTTTATGTATAATATTTGGGCAATAATTAGAAGTAGTTTCCCCATTTCCTTAGTCTATAACGTATTCTCAACGTGTTCTAATGAGCCAGGCTAATCTTAAAAATCTTCTTGTTACAGATTTTTTCAAGCTGCAAGAATATAGGTGAGTATTAAAAGATTACAAAATCAATCAAAATAATTAGGTACCATCAAAATAAATAGTCTTATTAATATGCTAAACTCACTCATTTCCTTTAAATTGAGAGCATTGATTAGATAATAAATCCTTCTAACTTTTTCTTGGCCTACACTAACTTTTTACACTCAAATTAAAAAATGTAGCAAGTAGTAAATTCCAACAACATTCCAATTCTCGAATCGAGATTAATAAACTTACTCAAGTTTCAATTTCGAAGTGTAATGTGTCTTGCCCAACAAGAAACTTCCTTCCTAAATAAATAAGTCATAGTGAAATGTCCAACAAACATAGAGTAAAAACACTTTCTACACACATTGTCGATGGCCGCTCCGGTTTATCCGGATTTTGAGGAAATAGTTTGGTCTTGTAAGAATTTGGGCAATGGGCGACTAGTTTTAAATGGACCGAGATGCTGTTTAGATGAAGATGTTAGTGCTTTAGTTACAGGATTACTGGTAATCTTTGACATCTATGTTATTTGGTTACATGATCTTTCTGAGTAACTATAAAAAGGTTACAATGAAGAGGAGCACTAAGAGTTGTTATTTTTCTTCCGTCGTGTGGATTGTGTTGTCATAAAATGGGTAGTTTGAGGCCAAGAATCGCCTTGGCTTTGTGGCCTATTGTGTGGTTCCAGCAAAGTGGAATAGGAATACTCCCACTCGCACTTTTTCCAAGGATAGTGCCTCTCTAAATTAAAATTAAACAGAAAAAATAAGGAGAGTTTCTTCTGAAGTACAGATTAAATTTCCTGATGGAATTATCTCCAAGTCAACCCGTGAGCGATATTTATATGGAATTATCTCCAAGTGAGCCAAGATGTTCACATCATAATAAAACTCCCCGTTCCACAATAAAATGGAGGTTTCTGGAAAAATAAAATAAATTCTGGAAAGATCTATGATATGATACGATAATTTGCGTCATACCATAAAACTGCAAACGGACTTCATCAAATCGCTGCCCCAGATCCCAAGCCACTGCCGTGAATTATTGCAGGCATTAAAGTCATTACCCACCTTTGCACATCCGAGTGAGATTAAGCCTGGCGAATGATAAGACACCGACGACGATTAGGTCCAGAAAAGTACTTACCGCTCCTATGGCCTTGGGTACTAGCGGTACCCAAAACGAAATTTGTAGTCGATTGGCCTTGGGTACTAGCGGTACCCAAAAATAGTGTTTGAATATTAAGCTTTACGTCTACTAGATTACTGTTACAATCGATTGGCAAAAATTCAATTGGATTCTCTATGAAATACCGGTTTTTTTAAGGTACAACAACACTAGAAATCATTCCCAACACTTGGAAAAAAAAAATGTCAAAAATGACATTTCATTGTTTTGACGTGCCCGTCACTTAGTTTTTTCTTATTTTAATGGTTTATTTCTTTAAACACGAAGAATTGTTGTTGTGAGTGTTAGTTAGTTACTGAATATTAAATACAGAAAAGGATTTAAGTGTCGGTAAGTAACTTTGTCTTATTTTCGTAATATACCCGCAAGATAAAAATTCCCAATTATCATATTTACAACTTTTTTTATAATTTTAACAAATAATGAACGCTAATGAAATATGCACAGTTCGAAAGGTCTGTTATTCAGCATTGTAAAAAACAACAAGTATTAACTAACTTCTCAAACAGTGAGTCATATTTTGTATTTTTTTACGACGCGGCGTAATCCGCGGCGTAATCCGCGATGACGTAATCGCTGTGGCCACTCAACGCAATTACGTTTCGCGCGGCTGGCCAGAGCAGCGGAATGACGTCAAGCAAAAAAAACGTTCTTCCCCCAAGATAAAAGCTTGTGAAAACTCAATTCCGCAACCACTTGCTAAGCTGTACACAGAAATTCATCTTGATTCATCACTTCTCCTGTCCACAGAATTTGGGCGGTATAACCTTTAGAAGTTAAGTTGTTGATGCCGTTAATCGATAATTCCAAGTCCAAAACTTTAAATGCAATTCATTCTAGCCCTGACCACTGAGTTGGTCTAGTAACTTTGAAATCAATTAATAGTTTAATTTAAATTTATCCCGCGGGTGTCGTAAGAGGCGACTTAGGGTCCACACATCAAACAGAGAACGGGCAGCAGCGCTCTCTGAAAAACATCAATCTTTTAAACTGCGATCTCCAACCCGCCTGCCAAGCGTGGGGATTATGGCAAAACCCTCCACTATAGTGGAGGAGGCTCATAGTCCAGCAGTGGACTGTAAAGGGCTGTTGATGATGATGATGATGAATAGTTTAATAACTACTCAATTACTTATGAGAACTAGTGAAGTCCCTTTGATCCACAAAAACTATGGTAGAGTCGCGTTTTGTCAAGCTCCCTACTTCCGTATAACGTTTTCAATAAACGTTTCGTGTCGAATGTTTGTCGGGCATTTGTTGTGCGTTTGCAGGACCGCACACGGTAAATTGTATGACAACTGCGTCGGAATAAAATTGTCAATTACCATTAGTTAGTGTGCGGTCTTGCAAACGCACGAAAACGTCAGACACGAAACGTCTAAGATCGTTACATCCACGAAGACGCACCCCACCATTCTTCCGCTAATGTTTGAGTGTTATCGGTACTTCGGTACACGATAATTTATCCATGAGTGCACACGCACACTACAATAATGACGCTCGGATTGCTCGGATCAAACTCCCAGCACCCCGCGCTTCCCTCGACCAAACATTGGTGGGGCGCGTCTTCGTCTTCTATAAATTGAAAGCGCCCTAATGCTACTTTGCGGTGTCATCTGCCTCTCAGCTTACGCCCAGCCTAACTCCAAGGCAGTAACTGCTGCTCGTTTAGACTCGTCAAAAGTGGGCTATCGAAACTAGTTGGGCTGGCACAAATTTTGCCAAAGACCGTTCAAACCTGTCCGCAGTCACACCTGAATATGTAGTCCAAATAAATAATTAAAACACGTTTAATGGCACCCATATTTCAATATCGATGTATAATTACAAGACGAATCACTTCAATTAATGTGAACTAGGTGAAAGGTTGAATAAGTATCTACTTTTAGGGATTAATGCCAATTTGAAAGGAAGTAAGAATGAAATAAAGTGCCTGAAAAATCGAAACCTTTTGAACTTATCAAAAGAATATTTAATTTTATGAAAAATTACAAATTATTGCTCTTTTCATAAAAAAATATGAGCTTGATCATGATGTTATTTATACCCGGAGTCATGAGCACTAAAAGATAAATATATATTATTTTACTACTTACGTATTTATTTATAGTAATTCGTAATTGAGTCGTAGTAAGGTAGTAACCGCGCGCCTATTTACTCGTATTTGGACCAATTTATTCATTGTTATTAATTAATTAATTTTGTTTTAATAAAAGCACAATTTTATCGCGGTGATTAACTAATAACTATTATTAGGAATAACTAATTTTAAAGCTCTATCGCATTCCATAAGCTTTACGAGCTTTTTGTGGCAGCTTTGAGTGGTTCGCACGCGTCTAGACTGCACAAAATCACAAAACGATAATAACCCAGAAATCTAAATACCAATAACATGCATTTATGTTAATGAGAGCGCGAAAACTTAATTAACAATAAAATACGAAAAACTTGATAATTTTCTGATACACTTTCGCCGACCTACCTTCATGAGAACATTATGAATACATGAAAAACTTAAACTCTCTTGATATCCATGTATTCTTTGTACCTAATGTTATTTACTAATGTTTATATTTTGACGCAGGCCGCTACCAATCGATCAACGTGGAAAGCATTAGGGGAGGCCTATGTTCAGCAGTGGACGTCCTATGGCTGAAATGATGATGATGATGATGAATGTTTATATGCACTAGCTGTAGATTCTGGCTACAAAGGAACTGCAGCGGTGGGAACGAGAGGCGGAATATTTACATAAAACTAATTTTACATTTGGCTTTCTCTCCCAGTCTACCTTGACCTCTTGTCAAAGTTGGCAACTAATGTTTGTTAGTGCGTCATTCTTCATTAATTATTCAAACAAAGCCTCATTGTCTAGTTAATCAGAATCAATCAATAGACATTAGTATCTTAATCTGATTGTCTTTGTAACAAGTTTTGTCAATACATAGGATAATGTATGTAATTTTAAATTGTATTGTATAAAAATATAACCCATCTTCTGGCGCAGTCGGGTAAAAGAAAAAGGAACCATTTATGTAGTACTAATTACCTACAGAATTTTTATTTTTATTATAATTTAACAGGTTTTAAGTACATTTTGTATTCATTCCAAAATATTACATTAAAACTTGAACTTGTTGTTAATTAATATTTTGACTTCACTTAAATTCGTTGCCCATCTTTAACAAATTTAAAATATAACTATCAAATGCCTAGTTTCTAAAAAACTCCACAACAGTACAACGAGATCACAAAATCATCGACAAAATAGAAAAGAATGACAATACGACCATTATATTGTAAGTTATGAGTCACCTGATAATGTTATGCTGGACGCGTCCCGAACATTAACAAATGTATACGATAACAAGTCCTTTAGTGCATTACCACCCGTCGGACAAACACGTTTCTGATTCTCTAAAATAACACAAAGTTGTAATAAAGTGGTTAAAGATGAAAGTGCTAGCTTTGGTGGTGTGTCTCGTGGTCAATGGGGTGGTAGCCAAAGTGGTGGATAAGAGGAAATGCCCCGAAGTTAGGGCAGTACCACACTTTGATTTAAACCAGGTAAGCTGTTTACTCGTCTAAGGTTGCACCACCTAATTTTAAACGGTAATTATAACGATAACCGGTGCTTTTTGTATGGACTTGACAGATTTTTGACGTTTGTCAAAGTTAAAGTAAGATGGTGCAACCCAGCCTAAGATGTAGTGATAGTTTAGTTAGGTGACCCACAAATATTTAGATATCCTTAATTTATCCCTCTCAAAAATGACGCTATATCGGGCTACTAATACGGAAGCTTATGTAGTTGTAATTGGAGCTATTTTTTTACAACAAGTATAAATCTTTGCGCTGTCGACTGTAGGTTTGTGAGATTATTTGGTTCAAATTATTTAGACCAAAATTAATTAAGCTGTAATAGTTCCGCGGTTCAGGCATGACAACGCACCGCATAGGTATTTATGGGATTAGTAGGCCCAAGCCTGTGCCAACCCTATGCTCCAAGGAGCAAGACGTGGTGGAAACCATACCAATTGTCATAAGAGGGTTCAAAGGTAAGCAACATATTTGAGAATAAGTTGAATTTGCGTGGAATTCATTTCATCATCATCAACAGCCCTTTACAGTTCACTGCTGGACTATGAGCCTCCTCCACTATAGTGGAGGGTTTTGCCATAATCTCAGTTTAAAAGATTGATGTTTTTCAGAGAGCGCTGCTGCCCGTTCTCTGTTTGATGTGTAGTCCCTAAGTCGCCTCTTACGACACCCGCGGGAAGAGTAGGGGTTGGTGACAAATGTATTCTACTCTGCCGTCACCACACGGCTTGTGTGTGGAATTCATTTACAAAAATAAAACATTATGTTGTATTTGAGTAGGTACATCATTTTTAATCTGTAAGTCAGCCAGCTAGTATCAACAATGCGTAGGCGCCGGAAACTTGATTGATAACGTAGTAGGTACGCAATTCATTATAATTATATCATGATCCTAACTTGTTAATTAATAAACAATGACAAATTGATATTTAGTAGGCTCCGAGACTGTTCAAAAATTTGACAGACAAACACAATCATATAGAAATATTTAACCTGGTTAAAGTTCAGAGCAAAGCGAGGGGAATTTATTTGCTTTTCGATGATTGTTGAAGCTCTAGATTTGTGTGGCTCTAATATTAAGTGATAGTAGATATGAATTTAATACTTACGACTAACTTAGGTTTCAATGTTGCTGCATATCAATGGGTTATGTAACGGGGAGAATGCCATCATACTACTTAAATCCCGAGATCGCGCTACTTATGCAGAAGGTGACAATGGTTCAGCCAATACAATGACACTATCAATGGGTTTGTAGGGTAGAAATTACCAAACAACGCTATTTCAAAGCGATCCCTGGGTCTTACCATACAAAATTAAGGGTTAACATAATAGGGCAGGGTGTCACCCAACTTCTAACAGCACAGCTGCTTTGTAGGGGTAGGTACAATCAGCACCAAATTGTTTGTGACACCCAAAGTGGCCAAAAAGTTGACAAACAACTTTATTCCAATTGTAACAAAGACGTGTTAGGAACTTTTTGGCTACTTTGGATCACGAACTATTTGACGCTGACCGTACACAACTTCTGCTTTCTTTTTATTTATTATTCATTATTGAGCAATTACATATTTGATCCAAATAGCGTCCTAAATCCTCTTTAGGTTTTTTGCGACATTATAATAAATTATGACTCCTTTAACTTTTTGCAACTCAATGAAAACTAACAATAGAAACATTCCTTTCTTACTCCTTCCTATCAAACCGGATCCAAAAATGCTACTACACTGTTTGATCCACAATTTTGTTATTTGTTACACCGAACCCCTCAATTTTTATAATAACATTGTATGTATGAGCTACCTGTCAAATAAAAACAGTAACCAGCAGGTTTGAACAATGAACATCTCTATAGTGATTTGCATACATTATACCATAATACGATTGTCACTGCTCCTTTGAAAGTTAAGCTTCTGCCAGTTACATTGTATCATTTCACTTTCTATTTGGCTTGAGAGTAGTGCTTAAATAATTTTACTTATATCGAGTGGGTGGATTGTTAGACGACAAAGTAGTGGGTAGTGAATATGAGTTTGGCGTACCATTATATTCATTACATATTTAAAACAGCGCGTGGTCATGAAAATCACTTTCCTTGGTAGAGTCGAGCACTTTCTATTTTTAGAATTTGCAATATTATTTGGCAGTTTATAATTAAGGGACTATTACGTAATAGGTACCTACTTACTTTATGTCTCAATTTTTAACTCGTACATAAGTGCCAAAATATTGGTCTAAACTGAATAAAATATTTTTGATTTTGATTTTATTACAAAGGGTAGGAGTTCATAGTAAGTCAGAGGTGGAAAAGTTAACTAATAAACTTCAATTTCATCATAAATCATTCCAATCGTTGCTAATACCTTTGAGAAACAAATATCTTGTCAATTCTAAAAGCAGATGTGGTAAACCTTACTCGGAAAACAGGAAGAGGGACTTAAATCTCCTCTTAGCTAGAAACTTTGGTGTATCAATCTAAATCCATATTGATCAAAAGCTTAATAGGTGTATCCAAAGTTGATAAGTGTTTTGGCAAAGTTGTAGAGCGTATGTAGTATGTAGGTATTATACATGGTTCAAATGGGCATTACTGAAAGTCTGAAATTTAATAGAAATTACAAACATGCTAAAAAGATTTTAATTCATTCAATTACTTTTTAATTTAGTACTTAATCTTAGGAATTATTTCAAAGATTTCAGTATGTAGCATGAAAACGATGCGCAACATTTTTGAACGCCTATGCACACTCGTACAGCAAAAGTGTCGAAGTGGAAATACAAGCTCTTAATGTGGACAGGCTCTCACCAATAAATACGAGATTACATACATTTTTCTCTCTGTTTGATTAATCTTTAATTATCAATTCAAGTATCGATTCGAAAAACAAAAACTTTAATTAAAGATAGGGTTTGTCAAAATGCGACTACCTCCCGGAGATCGTTTGCGCATAATAATAACGACGCCATAAATCATTTTGATACAATAAATAAATCATGTTGTTTGTTTCCATAATAATAGCCTTAAATCGTTTATTTATGGAAAACGCATTACCACAAACGAATAAGTGCTCTACGAAATTATTTTTATTATAACCGTTCATTTGATATGAAACTCCAAAGAAGTAATGGACTAAAATTACTTAGGTATTATCTTATGATACTACTAGCGGCCGCCCGCGACTTCGTACGCGTGGAACCTGTTTAACCCCCTTAAGGGTGGAGTTTCGTAAAATCCTTTTTTAGCGGATGCCTACGTCATCCGTCCCGATCCGTCCAGTGGGTTGTGCGTTGATGGATCACTATGTCAGTCAGTCAGTCAGTCACCTTTAAGTTATACAGGGTGTCCCGTAATGTAACGTCAAGCCGGAACTGGGTGTTGAGGCAAGTTATGCTGGTTATCAGAAAAATATAAAAAAAAATCTATGTGGCATATTTTCAAAATAATGGGCATTTAAAAAAAATCAAAAATTTCTACTCCAGGTGACGGTCTTTTTACTCGTGTTGCCACAAATCTTCACTTTTTCCAAATTTTTTTTTGTTATGTAACCCTGAATAATGCTTCTCTAAATTGTTATCAAAATTACAAACCCAGCTGCTCCAGCTTGGATAAAAAAAATACATGATTCCCAAAAAAAATTTCAAAATAAAAATTTTGTCTCGTTTAAACTGACTGTACTGAAAAAAAAAGTACTACGCAAGTGTGGCATGTGACGTCATAATTTGGCGCATTTAGTAAGGATTCCAAAATGGTATAACACTTCGTAAATTCTTGCTGCAATTGTCGAAAGTTTTTGGTTTTTTGGAAATAATCCCGTTTTTAACTTTATCTACCTTGGTTAAAAATTATTATTCTAATGTGCCCAAAATTCAAGTTTCTGTGACTGACTACCGTACAGTCAGTCACAGAAACTTTTGTCACCATGACAGTAATTAGTAGTTGACATACTGTGACAAAAGTCACCCGTGCGTGCGCGCCGTTACTACCTGCTCTGCCTGCACTTGTACTTGGTAACAGGGATAATAAGGATATGAAGTTTCGGTTATGGATACGGTTACGGATATTAGAATAATATTATACCGGTTTCGGTTACGGTCACGGATATAAAATCATTTCAGATTATCCGAAAGTTTCGGATAATTTCGGTTACGGAATTATTAGAATTTCAAAAATGTAGGTATAATTCAAATAGCAAGATGCTGCGTGACCCACATAGCTACTTTATGTACCAACTAAGACGACACCTATGTATGATAAAGGTTAAACAGGCTGGCATATTAGATGGTGCCAGGGAATGCCAGACAAGTTGGTAACAAATATTAAGATTTAAGGTACAATTCCAAGACGGGCCGCAGACCGCAAACTGCAAAACTCTATGAAATCGGCAGCGCGGCATTGCTGCTGCGGCGTGTATACTGCAGATTTCATAGAGTTTTGCAGTTTGGAATAATTGTACCCTTAGACTCCGCCTTTATCCGAAACTATCCGTAACTTTTGAATCAGTTTCGGTTACGGTTATGGATATTTTTTTATTTCGGATATCCGATAGTTTCGGTTACGGTTACGGATATCCATAACATCCCTGCTTGGTAAGATGGCCCTCTCCGTCCCGCTCATACCTTTTAAAATGGCTTCTCCACCTCATTTAAGCCAGAAACTTGAATTTTGGGCACATTAGAATAATAATTTTTAACCAAGGTAGATAAAGTTAAAAACGGATTTATTTCCAAAAAACCAAAAATTGTCGACAATTACAGCAAGAATTTACCAAGTGTTATACCATTTTGGAATCCTTACTAAATGCGCCAAATTATGACGTCACTTGCCACACTCGCGTAGTACAATTTTTTTTCAGTACAGTCAGTTTAAACTAGGCAAAATTTTTATTTTGAAAATTTTTTTGGGAAAAATGTATTTTTTTCATCCAAGCTGGAGCAGCTGGTTTTGTAATTTTGATAACAATTTAGAGAAGCATTATTCAGGGTTACATAACAAAAAAAAAATTTGGAAAAAGTGAAGATTTGTGGCAACACGAGTAAAAAGACCGTCACCTGGAGTAGAAATTTTTGATTTTTTTTAAATGCCCATTATTTTGAAAATATGCCACATAGATTTTTTTTTATATTTTTCTGATAACCAGCATAACTTGCCTCAACACCCAGTTCCGGCTTGACGTTACATTACGGGACACCCTGTATATATTTAGATGTCAATTTCAGATGCTCGGCGACTGGTATGTGGTTGAATACTATGCGAGTGCAGAGGAGGCTCTCTCTTACAGCTGCATGAGGGCAGTCTTCACCCAGGATGACCACGTGCCAGCTGCAGGTATGATTTCTTTAGTTTTTAATGATAAATTTATTAGCACAGTCATAAGGAGAACTTTACCATAGGGCATAACCAATTGGCGCCTCTGTCAACAGGACTTTACTCGCTACCTTACTTAAAATCCATTGCAAATGTATCATCATTATCATTTAGCCACAGGACGTTCACTGCTAAACATAGGCCTCCCCCAATGATTTTCATATTGACCGGTTGGCAGTGGTCTGCATCCAGCGTCTTCCTGTTACCCTTATGAGGTCGTCGGTTCAGCTTGCATTTTGCAAATTGGTTCATAGATAAACGTAAATTCGTACTTATTGGCCACTACTACGAAAGTTTACTACTATCCTTACCTTGAAGTTGGCAATAAATTGCTCAGATATCCCCGTTGCCTATATCGGGGTGCTCTGGAATCGCCTCATGAATAAGAAACAAATCGTGAACTAGATCCGTGCATGGGTGGACGAATGTCTTCATCATTTATAGATACTTTCTCCCTTAGATGTATTTCCTGCTACATATTTATTTTATTCACTTAACTATTTTATCAGAAATAAAAACCCTTCTTAATTTTTTTTATTAATTTACGAGATAATTCGTTGTGATATAAGAACAGCTCATCAAAATAAATAACACTTAATAAGTTAAATATTTTGATTATAAAAATTAATTGCCTTTATTACATTATCTCCCAAACCTAGAATATATTGTCGCGTCCATTCAGAAAATTTATATCTACTATTAAGTATAGTATGTTTCGAAAGAATATTGCGTTAAAACAATACAATGCGTAAAATGACTGAATTTGTTTCAGACGGCACCGTGGAGTGGACGCCAGGGGTGACAATGAACTTCACGTATCGCTTCGCTGATGACCCCTTAGGGGAGAATCTGCTTGGAAACATCACGTGGAGGGTGGATCTTAACGAACCGGCGCATTGGACCCATGCAGAATCCACTTGTGAGTACAGTATTGTATGTAGAGTCATAAGACTAAGTATTATACTATACTGAACATAAAATAAATAAATGAAAATTTCCAGATGATGGCATCTACAACACATACGTCCTAGACACAGAGTACAAGACATGGGCCCTTCTGTTACATTGTGCAGAGCAGAGAGAAGGTGCAAGGTATCTCAGTGCCTTCGTGCTATCCAGAAAGACAGCCTTGCCAAAGAACGTCATGGCCTACCTGAGAGACAAGTTGCCAAGGTATCCTTTAACATCTATTGAACTGTGCAGAAAAAGTGGAAGTCACAGGTTTTTTTATTATTTTCCAACCTGCAACATTGTTACTGTCATGCTTGACACAACGAAGAAAAAGTTCGTTCATTTCAAGCAAAGAACCAAGACCTTCTCCAAGGATTTAACCGGCATTCAGGTCCTTCCCGCGAACTTCACTAGATCCTTAATGATTTGCAGCTTCCTGAAAATCATGGTATGAACTGTGACAAAGTTTTTGCTAAACTACTCCTGTAAATATTTTCCAGATACGACGTCGACGTCAAATACGTGTTCCCTATTCCCCATGAGGACTGCTCGTCCAAGCCAGCCAGGTCTGACTACACACCGATCCTGGTGGAAGCCGGCAGCAAGGTCCCGAGAAAACCAGGCATCACCTACAACGTTGCTTTTGGTCATTAGAAGACCCTAAGACTGCACGAGATGGGTGTTTACATACATGGAATTAGGGACGAGTAATTATGTAAAATTAAAGTATAAAAGATATCGGAATACATACGTACTTATTACCTGCATAGTTTATTTGGTAATAATCATACATTTACAAAACCTCACTAAGAAGTACTTATTTGTTGATAGTAGTAAGAAAGCGAAAACGTTATACGCTGTATTGTTTGTGTCCTTAATTTTTTAGTTTTGAAAACTTTGGTATCAGGGATTAGATAATCTCAAACGAAAAAATCTGTCATGTTAATATAGGTAGGTACATAGAATAACTAATAAAGAGTAAAAGCAAGGTTATTCTGCTAAAATGTATATTGTATACCCACCCCGAGGCTACTATTGTTTTCAGCGGTGCATTCCTGGTATAGTCCAAACAAATCTAAGTAATATGGGCCCAAGATTTTACGTAGGTAAGTACTTAAGTATTTATTATTAGAAACTAGCTTTCCGCCCGCGGCTTCGCCCGCGTGGAATTTTGTCACAGAAAAACAATATCGCGCGCGTATTTGCTAACCGTTTAGACCTACCCTGGACTACGACAAACATTTTAAAATCAAAATCAGCTCAATCAGCCCAGCCGTTCTCGAGTTTTAATCAGACTAACGAACATCAATTCATTTTTATTTATATAGATACCTACTCGTAGATATCAGGCTCAAAAACTGAACTCCGACAAACGTTACTTCGACATTACGTTACTCCGACACTACTGAATATCGACATGACTTTACTTCGACACTACACTACTTAGACAAAGGCGAATATCCTTTGTCGGAGTAGTGTAGTGTCGAAGTAAAGTCATGTCGATATTCAGAAATGTCGGAGTAACGTAATGTCGAAGCAAAGTTTGTCGGAGTTTACTTAGGTAGCCCAGTGGTGTCAACTACCTAACTGATTCTGTAATTCGAACACAAAAAAGTAACGTTGCTAGAGCTAGAGCCTCTTGCTTGTCGCGACTTAAATAGGTATGTATTATAAACAGAGTATTTTCTCGATCACCTACCTAACTAGTTAAATCCATTATAAAAAAATCCGTCAAACATTCGAATTTCATGTTTCACGTTCATAAACATCGATTCAACGTCATTATTAATCGGGCAACGAAAACGATCACGTCGAGGAAGTTTCATTAGACGTTCAACTTTAACGAGTTAAAATACGGCGGTTTACGTGTTTACGCTTCGTTAGGTATTGTAAACTATACACTATTAACTATACAACACCGATCCCAAGTGGTGATAGGGCACGGACATTGTTATTCGCTATCATTAGTATGCCGTGGAGGTTCCGACAGCGTACGGCACTCCGTTGACATTCAGGCTTGACCGTGTCTAAAACGGCCACAATGAATAAACGCTCTGTAAAACATTAGGTTTTCACAATTATTTAGTTGAAGGCGAAGTTTTCAGAGATGGTAAAAACTCGCAGATAGGGCATGTAGGCAGAATAGTTAGAAGAAGCACAGTGTTTGGGGCTGAGAAGATTAATTTTGATGACCATCTGGCTGGGTGGCTGCGTAACTTCTGCTCCGCACCTTAAATACACTAGACAGCATCTTACTTAACATCAGGTGCGATTGCGGTCAAATACCTGCATTGTTCTGCATAAAAAATACCAGTTGCAAATGCGAGAAAAGTAGAATTCATGAAATTAAAGCCCTATTTAGGAAAAACTCTCAAAACTCCAATCACACTCAAGCATAGATTCATCTAGTAATAAAAGATGAAAAGTGACGATGAAGTCTAAGATGAATACGGTAGTTAATAAATTCCGATTATATGCGCATGATTTTAGACACAACAGAAAAGTACGGAAAAGTCATACTTAGGTTGTTGGACTTATTGGAAAAGCATCTTTGTAGTCAGGAGCATCCGACACCTTTTGCCAAATTGGTGTTTTTAAATTCAAAGCTTTTATTCAGTACTTAGACCCTTTCCAGGCGTTTATACACGTTCCAAATATAGCCCTACCACCACTTCGGGACAACATAATATGGGCTGGTGCTGGGAAGAAGTGGCGGAAGAAACTCAGTCACCTTTTTTAACATATAAATTTGGTAAAGGGCCTCTCTACCACATGTTTATTCTATGGCTAGGCTCAGTAATTCAGGTATCTTGCGACACTCATATGTTATAAGTGTAAGAAAAGAGGTGATCTGCAGTTTTTCACGACACATTCGACAATGGCTAGCGCGCGGACATACGTGCTCTTGTTGGTGTTACTTGTGAATTACAGGTTGACTTTGAGTCAGGTAAGAGAAATATCAATTATTCGAAATTAGAATAATTTAGTTAATCATTTGGCTTAGTGTGGAACTAGGTAATTGATGTCATGGTATAATGAAACAGAAAAAGCTTATGAGATTCGTGATATAAATGTATTGATAGTAATACTGACGTGTAATTAAAATTACACTTAAGTATGAAGCGTTGTAAACTTAACTTAATTTTAAAACTTGTCGGAAGGGAAAACATAAATAATTTATTTATTTATTTATTTATACTTCAATGCCAAAAATATTAACACTAGGCGAACTTAATGCCATAAGGCATTCTCATCCAGTTTACCTTTGGGTTATGCAGAAAAATTAGTTTGGCGGTAAAAAAAAAAAAAAAAAAAAAAAAAAACAAAGCGACATCAAAACAAATAAGCTACATATACACATACATAAATAATATATAAAATAATATAATAAATAAATACATACTAAGATGATAGATATAATGTTGGATGACGATAAGTTAAAACAGAAACCATTCATGAAGATGATAACATTTGGAGAAAGTGGTTATGGACAGATTTTTTGAACGAAAACTTGCTAGAGGCTTGCCTGATATCTTCAGGCAGAGAATTCCAGAGCCTTATGGCCTGGAGACGGAAGGAGTCAGAGAGAAAACCAGTTCGGTGGAGAGGGGTGGAAAGGACAGACTTATTAGAAGAACGGAGCTGACGTGAGTGCGTTGAACTGAGAAGAGTGAACTGTGACTTGAGATAAGATGGGGAATTTGGATCATTCAGGATCGAGAAAAGAGTACATAAGATTCTGACTTTGCGTCGAAGTGGGAGAGGCAGCCATTGTAGCTGAGATCGGTAAGCGGAGATGTGGTCGTATTTGCGCAAACAGAAAATGAAACGAATGGCGTTGTTGATCAGTCGATCTAGCTTTGTAAGGAGATCTTGATTCAAGTCAGGGTAACACACATCAGCATAGTCGATGATTGGGAGTACAAGTGATTGGATCAAGGTAATTTTTGTTTTAACTGGAAGGAAATTCTTGAGCCTCCAGAGGGAGCGCAGTGTGGCGGTTACCTTCCGACTGACCTCTGCAACTTGGGTGTTCCAGCTGAGCGTAGTGTCCATATGTAAGCCAAGGTTTTTGACACTTGTGCAGTAAGGGATGTCAACGCCATTAAAGTTAACTGGTGATACACAATCAAGATGACATATTTGACGTTGACTACCGATAACTATAGCTTGTAATGTAGGTACTCAAGTTATAAGAAGCACGCGGTAACAGCGGCTTGCATGATAATATTTGAATTATGTATGCAATTGTCTTTGCTACAAACAAAAAGCATGAATGTATAAATTCATACATTGTTTGTGTTTGACAAGAATTAAGTTGTCAGTTAAAGACGGCGGAAAATGTTACGATACCTACCATTCACGAAGGTCTGCTGACCCATGTAGTATCAATCTAACTCTTAACTAGTTATTTTGCACGGCTTTTTATTATTGCTTAAACCCTTTATTTTCGAATCGATTCAAACTCAATGTTAAGATTAATCATTAGAGACGACATCACACAAGGCTATTGCAAAATCGCCCATATAAGAACTGCATTTAGTAAGATGCCAGTGTTTAGCTTGGCTGTCGTCTTTAAATACTTGAATCTAGATCTGATCTGATGTTTGAGAGTTGCTTTACTATAAAGTCCACATCCACAGTCCAAAAAACTTTCCTATCTAGTGGGATTCTTATGAAACAACACAAGCAGAAACGAAGTCATAATATTAAGCCTTTCTAAAAAAGACTAAAAAATGTGCATCTGCATTAAATGCAGTTTTCTCTTGCCATATTTTAGTTTTTTAACTCAAACAGGAAAAATCCACGTTGCTCGGTGTCCAGGAGCTTATTAACCTACTTTCCAGAGCAAAGTTTAGAACCATTTTCTAGAGCATACAGAGGAAAAGTTTCATAAAAATATTTCTCAGCATACGTGTTGGTTAAAATAAAAAAGAAACTCAAATTCTGTATGTTAATTTGTTATGTTTCTGCTACATTAATGTATGAAGACAGCGTTTGAAAGTAATATAATTGGGTACATTTTCCGAGTAACAATAAATAATTTGACATCCTTATTATGTGTGTCGGAAAATTGTATGGAATGACATCAGTTGCTTTACTTACTCTACATGTAGGTACACTCAGCGTCAAATAGTTCATGACATCCATAGTAAGTTAGTAACCAATAAGTTCGTAATACATCCTTGTTACCTTTAGAATAAGGTTGTATTAAAAAGATGATACTTTTTGGCCACTTTGGGTGTCACGAACTATTTGACTCTAACTGTACTTAGAAGATGAGAAATCCCATTGTTTATTTTGAACCCGACAAGGTTTTTTAAAAAAGAAGTATACCTAAACTTCATCGATGCAATCAAGTCTGAAAATATGGGTCGCTGAACTAAAGTTATATTAGAAATCCCAAATTCGTTTAAAAGTTTTCCCATATCTATAAATAAATAAATAAATAAATAAGGAAAGAAAAGGAAATTCCATTGTTTATTTTGTAACCGACAAGGTTTTTGTATAAAAAAATGTATACCTACCAAAACTTCATCGATGCATGCTATAATCTCAAATATGGGTCGCTAAAGTTAGATTAGAAATCCCAAATTCGCTGAAAAGTTTTTCCATACTCAAGTAGATTACCTATATTTTAAACATGTTTTTTACCCACGTTTACGTGGGAAAAAGATCTCTAATGTACTTTCATACTTAAATACATTTTCTACATGAAAATAACTAGAAATTCCTTAATAGGCCAGTAGAATTAAACACAAAAATTGATTAAATCGGAAATAATTCCTACAAAAAATTTTTTTGCTTTAATGGCTTCATTGGTTGCCCATTAAGACTCTCCTAAGTTTTCGACTTTGACGGAGTTGTGCTTAAGTGGTGGGGGCCCCCGAAAGCGGCGTTTTTTCGGTTTTCCGGTTATACCGCGTAAAGGACTTACCCTATCGAAAAGTGGTCTTCATGACGGTTAAAGGGCACTTAATCCTGCATTGAATAAGACCAAATTCATATGTTTTGGACAAACCGTTCTCGCGCTAAAGTTCAGCAAAGTAGAAAATATACGTATAATTAATGACCCTCTCCACGTCCAATGGCTTACCCACATGCTTCCAAGCCTTGTAAAGGTTCGCCTTAATCAGTGTAACCCTAACAAGGCTCACGAGTTTGATTCGCTTATCCTTGTTCGTCCCAGCCGTTCCTTAACTGCGGTTGCTGCACCTCTTCCTGACACTCTCCTGAACGACTCTGTGTTACCTAATGTGGCTGCCTCTCTTCCTTGTACCCTCCTGTACGATTATATTGCTTAGCTATATGCCTGGTCCAAGGTTCGACGCCACAAAATCAACTTTGTACGCGTGAAAATAGTTTAAATACTATAACCGGAAAACCGAAAAAATGCCTCTTTCGGGGGCCCCCACCACTTAAGCACAACTCCGTCGAAGTCGAAAACTTAGGAGAGTCTTAATGGGCAACCAATGAAGCCATTAAAACAATAAAATCTTTTGTAGGAATTATTTCCGATTTAAAAGCTAATTCTACTGGACTATAAGGAATACCTTCTTTCATTACGCTAGTACATACAATGAGAGTACCTATTATTGACTAATGAATATAATTTACATAATAATAATTGTTACACATTATGTACTTAATTAGAGGTCAATCACAAACGATTGTTGATTTAAAATTGTAAATTCCAGCCAACATTCGGATCAGCGATATTTTGCAGTCTATTCTGCGACGATGATGATGACGACTCTAGCGATGACGATGACTACGACTCCTACGACATATTCGGCGTTTGCTCCATGTGTAGTAGTGGTCCCAAGAAGTCGTCTTCAGAGGCTGCTACGACGGCCAAGCCGGAGTCATCGCAGCCTGTCAAGATTATGATACGTAAGCGATAAAATCTTTTAGTATCATCCTTTCCACATAGAACGTTCACAGCTGAACATAGGCATCTTAAAACAAAAACAAAGACGCTATAAATCAATCATCATCTGATGATCAAATACTGGAGCACGACCCTCTCTAATTTACACTACACAAATTGGCCAGATTGGTTGGGGTGGCACTGGCCAGACGGGGATAAGAAGCCTAGAGCTAATAAATAAATATTACGAGATGTAAAATAAAAGTACTAATTTTTTTTGTGAACTTCCTACCTGAGCACTGAATTATGAGTTAAAATTGATAGTAAGAGTTGAAAACTTCACCAAAAACGAATTGAGTAAGACGTATCAATACTTTAGCTAACTAAATAACTTTCTATCCTTCACAGCTCCATCCAACGGCCTAAACCTGACAGTATTCAGCAGCATCGGCGGAGTACTCATGGACCTAGTACCCTGGCTCGCGTCTCCCACCACTCCTGCCGCGGCAGCAGGCCCCACTACTGCTGCGCCGGCCACTACTGCCGCTCCTGCAGGAAACTCGACTGCTGCCACTACCACTAAAAAGAAATAAAGTTCAAAATAAATGACAAAACTCCTGCCGTCAAAGCTCCTGTCATGTCAGCTATTAAGTAACTTTTCAAAATACCTATTGCCCTGGCTCGCGTCACCCAACTACTCCTGCCGCGGCAGCCGGCCCCACTACTGCCGCGCCGGCCACTACTGCCGCTCCTGCAGGAAACTCGACTGCTGCCACTACCACTAAGAAATAAATTCCAAAAACTAAATAAATGGCAGACAAGTATATTATGTAAATTCCTGCTGTGTCAGCTAATAAGTTCTCAAAATATAACTACTATCATCAAAACTCCTGACGTGTCAGCTATCACGTAACTTTAAAAAATAAACTTTAGACTACAGATATAATTAAAATATTTTTTAGTCTGAAATTGTGCATATTATTATGTAGATAGTAATTTTTTTTTTTTTGGGAAAGTGTGATTGAAGTACAAAATGGCAGACATTTTTAAAGTATTGTAAATGTAGGAAACTTAGTCGTAAGCCAATAATTTTATGACGAATTATAAGAAATATTTGTAAAATAAAAATTTTGAAATTACCAAAGTTTTTTGTAGACAGGCTGGTTATTATATTGGAGAAATTATACATAATAATAAAGTAAAATACAATTCTTAAAGGCAGGTCTTCCTTACTGAATACCTGTTGAATCAATTTCTAGCGAACAAAGACGTACGACTTGCAATTTTAGTGATTGCAAATAATTGTTATTGTCAGTTTGCCGAACTTTTCAATATGAAATCGCGATATTTCTGTATATTATGCGTTTAAACCTTAATTGGAAACACAAAGGTAAAATAGTAATTGCGTTTGAAAATACGGTGCTGTAATAATTACTTGCGATTTTAACTTGAACGACTTCGATAGTGAAAACAGGTAATCGGTGGATTTAATTAGCAACACTCACGATCTTGAATTATAAATGAAACAACAGTTAGGTTGGTTTTTCTGAAACCTAACAATACGTAGTGTATTAAGTTTTCTCTCAGATTGTAAAAAGCACTAACTGTTGATTCTCTGATAGAATGAGCATTGAGCAGTCTACTTAGTCGGCATTTAATTGACCGATTACTTTGTAATGGTAGAAAACTATAAAGCAACGTTCCATCATCACATAGTAATTCAACTTACATTTACACCTTACGAAAGTTTGTTTCAACTCAAAATTGATAGTCAACTATCGCATAATCCTACGAGTTTGTTTACTTTCCAAAAGTACACAATTTCGATAGTTTTGCTCTAAAGCGATTCAAATCTAAACTTGAGTTGGAATTGAGTCATGAAAGCCCGTGATTGGTTTATTGTCAATGCCTAGATTAGAACCAATCGCAGATTTCTTGCCTGTAGATGTTTATTTTAGTTGGATCAATTTACACATTTTTCTTGAAATAACATTTTTTGCTTCATTCAATATTACTTCGTTATTCCTAACATTATGAAACATAACATTACAAGTAAAATTCAAGTCAAAATATATAAAAAAAATACTTCTTCAATTACAAATCAATAACTCATTTAATTTTATTCTAAAAATATAAGAATAAAATAACTGTCTCTACATTAATCGTTCGTTCGCCTATTACTGATGTAAGTTGGCGCTCTACACGCAAAGTACCGTAACAACACTGGCCAGTATTTTTGTTGAGGTAAATGAGAATCTTGTATATAAGCATTATTAGGGTGCGTTTCCACTAAACGATGTGCGAGGCGAGAGATGTGTTGGTAAAGAATTCTAATAATCGCTTCATTTACTTCACTTTGGTCAGCACAGCTCTGGTGGAAAGGGCTTAGCGAAGCGAGTTTTTAACTTGTTCTCTTCCGGCTTCAAAAAGAGGAGGTTCTCAATTCGAGGAAAGCACAGCGTGGGACTTCCACCCATATGCCCTCATAAAGGAAGGTGCTAAATGCTGGCCACTACCATACCAACCGAGCAATCAGGAAATCATTGCGTGGGGGAGGCCTAAGTTCAGCAGTGGAAGACCTGTGACTGAAATGATGAAGATGATGATGATGATGACGTGACTGCAGTATATGTACTAGGAATGTGTGTAAAAGACGTGGGCGAGGGATATGTGCTATGGATAGAGGCAATTGAACTGACAGTTTAGTGCCTCAACTGCGCACTGTTTCACATCTTCGCACCGCTCATCTTCCTATTACATTTTGGTGGAAACTCCTACACCGTTTCACAGTTTTGCTCCATATCCTGGCTCCACTCATCTTCCTAAAGCCTGGTCCGTGAGCACGTAGAAGCTCGCACACTCACTGCGGGCGCGCGTCGCACAGTCGCGACTGCAATATAATTACGCGCGAGCGATAAGGATGGGTAGCTTGGGGTCATTGGACAAAATTCTACGTGCTCACGGACCAGGCTTTAGCTAGCATATCTCTACTTATCTAGTGGATACAAGCCTACACAGACTCGCTCGCCTTGCAACTTGCACTGTGCATGACGGCTCGGGTTACATTGTCCTACGTAATGCAATTCTATTTAGGCTTGAGCAGCCGGTAGAGCAGGACCATCCCGGTTTTTAAGAGCTATCCGGTAACGCATTGAAATCGATGAAAATGATATAATTGTTTCGATAACGATTTCATTTCTACTGCATGAGCAACGCGATATGGTTTTTTCGTGTGTTATATCGGTTGTAGAAGAAATTGTATCCGTTTTTACAGGCTGTCATAATTCATTATCCATACCTAGTCTTCCCAAATAACCTATCGATGCGGTGCACAACAGAAACAAAGTGCACTTAAACACTAGTGTTTAGTTGGTCAAATCATTAATTCAGAACATGTAAGAATTATGTTCGTATGCCCATAGAATTTGACACACAATTATTATTTTTTGTTGAAGTGCTATTGGTATGCACTTACTATCGGAGCTAATGGGTTACTCCGAGAGCAAGGCACTGTTTGTTTTTCCGGGCTATATAAGTGATCATTTTTATGACCTTACTTGTTCATAGTATGCAATACGTAGAGCAAGTTACACCCTACCAACACAGGGAAAAATACTCATGAAGTTGTTGAACTTGGGAAGTTTTCTGTGTAAGTAAAATTTAAAACGACTTTTTTTTTCTATGTAATAAGCATTTTTTTAATTTTTTCTACAATGTTAGGTAAGAAATACGAATAAATATTTTGCAGCAACTCTTTATCGTTGCAAATAACTATTGATTGCTATGAAAACAGCAGAAAAACAATTCCAAAATCTATTTCATGGTTAGCGTTTCATAAGAAAACGGCATGGGATATCTTTATGACCATATTATTCTCACTTTATAGAGCAATAAAGAGTATCTACGTGCACTAACTTATCTTTATCATTAAAAGTACTTATAAATAAAAAATAGGTCTTGTTTTTGCAGTGAAGGTAGTAAAAACTGCATGTCTACTCGTGTTTCAAAAGCTATTTTTGGTCTCTGATCTGGTTATTTCTAGTTAGTTCTGAATGTTAGTATGAAAAAGAGTCTTTTTTTAGTTTTTTTAGAGCTATGTACCAATCACCGTGTTTTTTTGGAGTTAAAAATAGAATTAATTTCTTAAGTTTATTGACTCTATTGACTCGTGCAGGACCTAAGTTCAAATCTCAATTCAACCATCACCATTGTCGTATACAAAGAGTAAAATCTATGCAAATACTAGACAGGGTGTGCTAGAGATATTGCTCGCCAATTTTAAGACATTAAAGTCTCCTTTCGATTTGCTTGATAGCGACCGAGATGAGCAGATGTGCCCGCAGAAGTATTACTCAACAAACTAATACTAACTGCATGGTATCTACGTTTATTTATTAGTAACCAATGAAATGAAGTAAGAAGTGCAGTTACATAATATGTTCCTACCTATTAAGTTTGCTTGTCAATGATTTCATGTCTCCCATAAAGTTTACCTTGTCATTTTTTAATTAAATGAAGTATTTTGTGACTGGTTGTGTTCAGCATCAATATTTTGTAGGCAAAACTATAATGTTTTGAATTAACTATAAAATTTTATTTGATTCGCTGTTTCTTTTCATTAACGTAAAAAAAATTATTATACATTGTGACAATTTCGACCCCGAATAGCTTGTCCAGTAGTATACATAGAAGTCTTTGGTCGTACAGAAACAAAAACAAACCAACATGACTGGGAAGCTGGTTTTTATCTACCAAATTGATCGTGGCTTCGTACCACATCACTATATTTACTTTATTATCGATGCTACTTTCTACCGTGTGTCCCATACATCTCCTAGTTAATTAGAATGAACGTTCATAGATTCTAATAAAAGGAGATTTGTATGATACCGTTTCGTGTGTAGGATTGATTTCGAATTCTATAAATAGCTCTGTAATTGTGATATTATGCGCTTGATTCGTTAAGCTATATACAGACATTAAACTTAATTCGTGTGAATTCTATACTTTTTTTTATTTAAAAAGTAGCTGTAATTATTAAGGAAAAAAAACACATTTTTATTAATGAATTTTCTTCCTTAAAAACATCTACAGATAAGATATTGCATTCATCCAAATTCGTAATAAGTATTAACAGTTTTCTGTTATGATGCTCCTTCATTCACGTACAATTGAATATACCTACATCCCTATAACATAAATTGCCATAGTTCACGCGTTCTATTTGCCGAAAGGGTTTTATTTCCGTTTTAACTGCGCTCGTAAATTATGTGAAGCTAGAATTATCTCCATACACCAGTTTCAATCTCTTGGATCCTATAGTCTTGGAAGTTTTGCTACAACTAATAATATTATTTATCGATAAATCTTTAAAAATATTAAAACAACTCAACGGGGTAAATATGGATTCGTTCATCTTTAAAAACTTATCCACGTTATCAACACAGACATGACAAAGATAAATTGCAAAGAATAACGTAAGTACAAAATCATTTCATGCTGACTGAAAGTTTAATTGACAATACGTTACTTAAAAAGTATTCGCAATGTAACATTATTATAGTTATTTCATATTAATTAATAAAATATGAATGAACAAAAATTAATACTTAACTTTTTTAACACAGATAAAGTATAATCATTATTGAAATACAATGAGTGATCAAGTAACTTTATTTCATCGATACTGGTGATATTCTATCGATGTCGTCGATATAGTAGTGTCCCATCACTAGCAAAGGGCACTGCGTGCGCATACGCGGCGTAGTCGCGCGGTCGTTGAATCCTGTGAGATTTATCTTAGCGTTCGTCTTTTTTTGGAAAGCCATAAGACATAATTTCGAGGAAACTGATCAGTTTAGAACCAGTTCTTAATCAGGAATCAGTTACTGCTTAGGCATTCAAATTTGTGTTTAGTAGAAAGACTTAGGTATAATAATATTAGTTACAAATAATAGCAAAGCTCTACATTATCTAGTACAGTAACACAAAGCACTTTCAAATTCAGTCTTCATCATGGTTTATGTGCAATAATTACCGGTACTTTTCCAGATTGAAAGATCACACGTAGTTATCAGTCAAACTACCAGGCATACGGCTAAAATCAGGAGTTTCAACTTACTGACAAAGGGCAAACTATATTAGGACATGACTCTGAAAATGGCCTACCTATACTACGAGTAAGTAATAGAGAATTTGAATGGAATGGGTCTGCCTTCCTCAAAAACCAACTACCTACATAACTACTGGTATATCTCCCTCGTAAGCATAAAGTTTTAATAGCTAACCGCTCGCATAATGCACTTCGATTAAGCTTGTTGTCTCATAAACGTCCTATTAAGTGCACTTTTGAATGATTTTAGTTTTGGTCGTTATACTAATTGATACAGTATGGTATCATCGACCAAAATAGTGCAATTATATTTCTGAGATTTGATTGAGCTTCGGTATGTTATGCTATGCATGCAAGTTGGCGTGCCATTGCATGGTTAACAATAGTATAAATCCTAGAAATTAATATCACTTCCCTATGCAAATTATTGTATTGTACAGTCAAGCGGTCATTTATTATGATTTGTGGAGAAAGTTATCGATGTTAGTTGGAAAAAATGATATAATTAGTACACCACTATTTTATTTTGCTGTGGTAAACGTTGTCAATAGCTCGCATCCCATCCCATATATTATTTTAACCCTTTAGCTAGTGATCGCCACTATATTTTGAACTTTATTAAGATGAAATATGGTGTAAAAGAGTTAATTGGTCTCTCAGATAGGTAGGTGACACCATCAATCAATTAATTTACATTTTATGAGCTGTCAAAACGAGATTCCCCCATATTTTTTACAGCAGTGAGTATATTACCAACTCAATTGACTGACTCTAGACTTCCAGAGCAATTTCTTTTACAATTGCAGTTAAATCTAAAGTAATCGAGTTTTCAGGGCTGAAATTAAGCATATTTCCCCTGTAAAATGCTTAATGGTGTCAACCCGTTTGCATTTCAGAGACAAAACGGACTTGTGAATGTCATTTTTGATGCATTATCTAATTATAGTAGGTCCTACTAGAGTTGGTCCTAGTGGAGTTCGTTGTAGAAATCCATAGGGGAGGCTTTTATCCAGCAGTGGACGTCATTCGGCTGAAACAAACGAACGACCCTACTAGAGTTGTTACCTAATCCAAGAGCATTGTAATAGTTTATTGGACACTGACCACTATTCCTTTGTATGCAGGCTAAGGCCTCACACCGTAGTAGGCAGCCGATAAATCGCATCGAGACCTCGTAGGCCCACATATAGACTTGTAAACACAGTTACATAACTGTCTATAATCAAGTGGCTGTCCATCTCTATTAAAATTCCAGTTTGAGTCTCGTGATTTAAGTGAGCTATATAAATACTCGCACATACAGGGTGGAAACGTTAAGTGATCTCACTCGATTATTTCTAAACTATACAAGATATCGAAAAACTGATAACTGATTCTGAAAGTGCTTTACAAGCTCTTTCAAATGGTACCAATAATAGGTTACATAATAAACTGGATCTATCCGAAAATTAAATGTTTTCAGCCTCCATACTAAATGTATGCCAGTGAAACAAAATTATAAGTATTTTTTTTTTATTAAACAATAAACACTTAAAATGAACTCATAAATTGCATTCTTATTTAAAATTATTTATGGAAAACATTGGTTTTAGGCTTTACTTGCTATAATATTATCAAGACATGAGTGCCATGACTGTGGCTGTACTAAATGTATGGAAGCTGGAAACATTGAATTTTAGGATGGATCCAGCTAATTTTGTAACCTATTATTGGTATCGTTGGATAGAGCTCGTGAAGCACTTTCAGTATCAGTAACCAGTTTTTGAATATCTTGTATAGTTTTTAATATTATGTGGTTTTACTAAATGTATGGAAGCTGACAACAATTAATTTTCGGATAGATCCAGTTAATTCTGTAATCTATTATTGGTACCGTTGGATAGAGCTCGTGAAGCACTTTCAGGATCAGTAACCAGTTTTTCGATATCTTGTATAGTTTAGAAATAATCGAATGAGATCACTTATCGTTTCCACCCTGTATAGTATTTAGTGATAGGAATCATGGAAAGTCATTTAACTAACATAAAACAAGTAATAAACCCTTAGCCAGCTATGTATTTTGATTATTGAATCAGATAACGTCCCTTAAACTTCAACACCGCGAAACTGCATTTTCGTGACTTTACAGAAAAGAAGAAAAACGATATGTTTCCGAAAATGCAGTTTCGCGGTGTTGAAGTATAAGGGACGATAAGCAAAATAAACATTAGTAATTGTAATTCAATTATTGTCCTTTGATATAATAAGAAAGAAAATTCAAAGAAAGAAGGTTCGTTAAACCCTAAACTAATGCAAAGTTATGTCGTAAGGAAGGTTACAAATTAAGTTTTCAGAAAAAAAAAAACAATCGCGAATGACAATCGATACATCGATGTTCGCTACTCAGGAAGACGCCATTATATTTTTTAATTAGGAAACCGGCTGGTAAAAGTGGCCTTCCGTCATTGGGCGCATTGACAGCAGGGCTGGCACAAGGAGAATTAACGCCAGTTAGTGCCAAAAGGGTACAAGCTTGAAATGATGCAGAAGTTAACAACCCTGAGTTGATAATCAAGGTCGTGGAGATACTTAGTGGTTTCGGATACATTGGTTCTTAAACAGTCTTAAAAAAGCAAATATCCTGACTGTGAGTTGGTGTTAGTCCCGAGCCCTCACTCCTCAGTCTGAGTCCAGTCTACCCATAGCTCGTACTACAATTCAGTTAAGTCATCAATAACTGACTAGCAGGCTATATTTTGGTCAAACTCTAAAATTTTTAGCAACGTAGGAATATCGTTGCACTGCCTTCAAAGATAGTCTGCATCAGCTTGTTTCCTGTACCTCTTTCAGTGACAGCTTGGCTGCAGCAAGCTATCAATTTTTTTCAGAGCTCTACATTTTATCAGCAGACCATATCTTCCATCTTCATTGCAGAAACATCGTTGCAATGTCTTCGTTGACAGTCTCTACAGGATGTTTCCCGTACTCCAAAATCATCAATAGTTTGTAGCAAACTGTAATTTTTTGACTGAGCTCCACATTGTAAGAATGCCACGTCTTCCAGTTTCACCGCAGAAACATCATTGCACCTACTTCATAGATATAATGATTCAAGTGATTATTACGAGGCAGCCCTACCAGACAGGAAAGCACCACCGATGTGTATTAATGAAGTTGATGCACGAACTGCGTCGGTGCGCACGCGCCGCCAGTCTTGCCGCGCGTCCCGAGCTCGCCGGCTGAGTCCAAGGGGTCAATGACACTCGAAAACTTTGACAAGCACATATCGAATACCGAATGACGTTTCGATTAAGGTGGATCGCTGTTGTTTTGTTTTTTGTGTTGTGAATTATGGTCGCCATGGATCTTGGACCGGTGCTAAACTATTTATCTACTTTTTCTTTTGGATTTCCTACTCTATGTTTGATCTAAGCACTTACATGTTAACTTTGAAAGCCTCAAAAAGTTTTTAAGTGTTTTAAGTGCTCTATCAATCTTTTATGAATCCTTGATACTTAAGACATAAAAATAGCAGTACTTTTTTTTAGTTTTATTTTATACCATATCCACGCGTATTTACTACTTTTAATAGAGCATTCTTTATCGTCTATCAAATTCCGTTCATAAGTATGTGATCCACAATAATACATTAAAGCATTTTCAATATGTAAACAGACTCTCACATTTGATATTATTTTTTGTTAGAAGTGTTTAAGTTATAATAAGGGCACCAAAACTTAACTGTAACTTAAAGTTGTAAACATAACTTTCTAGACTCTACTACTTATCTATAGATAGAGAAAAATAACTTTGTATAGTATTCGGTTTCATAATTTATGTATAGTACTTTACATACTATGCTAGCTTATTTTCTATTCTTTTAATCTAAGTAATCTCTCATTGTTTACCTACTTCAATTAATTATTAATCATCCAAAGCAAATATTCTAAAATGGACTTATGGACAGCCTAAATAGTTTAGTATATATGTTACAAGAAATGTATGAAATCCGTCATTGTATACAATTCCTAGGATTTGTGTATAAGTCCTAAAATCACCCGGAAATGTGTGATGTAAATTATATTAGACACATTTCCTAGGAAATTTACACATTTCCTAAACAGCAATCGGAAATGTAATTAAGATTTCTTTTTTTTTTCCGAAACTTAAATGGCGCTCCCGCGCCGAGGCCGCTGTGTATGTGACAAGGTCGCAAGTCTAACCTAACCTAACCGAGACTTTGTTATCCAGCTACAGGAGTACTAAAACCTTCATGTCAATAATAGTTTAATAAAAGATATGTTAAAATTAGGGTTTTCCAATACTTCAGCGTAATATGCGTGATGCCGAAAGAAAGGTATGCCAATAGGCAAATATTTTTTTCAGTCAAAATATAATAGTGCGAAAACAACTTTCAGGCTAAACAATAATAGTTGTGAGTTAAAAGTACCTATCGGTCAATGTGGTTTGTCTAAATAAAATTTTAGGCGTACTGAGGGGCACTAAATCACATGACTGCGCTTGTGCCGCTTAGTTTTATACATTTCCTAATACAATATTGGAATTCTATAAAATTCCTAGGAAAAGTATACATGTCCTAGGATATGTGCGTATTAAAAAATCTCTGAAGCAATATTTTATACATTTCCTAAATAGCTTCGGAATTGTATACATTTCCTAGGAATAGTATACAATTCCTAGAATTCATACATTTCCTGTAACATATATATTTTTATTACTGACACTATTAGCCAATTTTTTTCACGAATTGTTAACAATATAATCGAATAAATGTTTACATCTTAACAAATACATAAATCAAACACTGTGAAAGTCTACTTTCAATTAACATTTGTATTTCAACTTCCGTGATTGAAATATCGCTATATTTCTGTTTTCTTTTCGCTTGTTTTTCGTGAAATTTTCTTTCAATAACTTTTTACTTTATTCAGCAGTCGACAGCACATCATTTTATTCACTTTAGTAGCGCACAGTGATACAGCTTGATATGTTGTCGTCGTTACTCACGATAAAAATACATTTCAGATGGCTTAATCGTTAATCAGAGCAATTGTAGTCACCAATCGTCGTTCGTTAAGTGATTTGAATAGAAGATAAACAAATGAAGCTCAGAATGCATTCGAGGGTCCTGCTCGCTTTGGTGGTGGTGTGCCTGGTGCCAGTGGTCTGGTCCAGGGTCAGAAGGTTCTCGAAACACCAGAACAATCAGCTATCGAAAGCCAGATGCGACCTCGTCTGTTTGGAGGCGAACAAAGAAACTAGAGGAAAGGTTAGTAATATTTTTATTTGTAACATCCGGTATAACTTAACTCAATCATGAGCAATAAAAGGTTTTATTCTGGTATTTGTTCTCCAGTTATATTTATATTGAGACCCTTATAGTTAAAGCACAAACAATGTTGCAGTTTAAAGCTGGGTTGCACCATCGTAGTTTAACTTTGACAAACGTCAAAAAAGTGTCAAATTCCATACAAAAACCACCGGTTATCGTCATACTTACGCTCAAAATTACGTGGTGCAACTCAGCCTAAGAAAAGATAAGTAGAATTCTAAGATAGAGAAACTTTTGGCACCTCATTATGCAACAAAAACTGTTTTCAATGTGAGTAACGCATGGATTAAAACAAATAATTATGTTGTTTATAAGAACAAAAAAGCTCTCTTGTTTAAAATTCTTCAAGCATAGCATTTACAAATAAACATACCGCGTGCCTGACCATTTATAATTATAATTTCAATTGTATCATCAATGAATATTCTATACAATATCAGACTTTTTCCCACGATGTTTTTCATTGCCACAAAATGGAATAAAGTTGTAGGTAAACGCACTCAATTATAATAAAGAATCCTCGTGGTTTTTGTTACATCTTAATAAATTACGACACAATGGATGTAATGTAGAGAAAGCCCATTATCACGCAAACTTTTTTAATTTTATATTTATTGTTTGATCATTACAAGCGAACATGCCGCTCAATCACACTTTCCTAACTAACTTAACATTAAATAAATAATATTAACTCAGGTTCAGAATTAAGTACTTATATAAATTACAATTTGTTCCTTCATATTCATGACAGCAAGATTTTTATGACTGCGGTAAATAAATACTAAAGATGAGAAAATAAATACTATTATATGAGATTTTATGATTGAGAATGCTTATTTTCTACATTAGTTAGGTATGAAATAAGCCTATTTTCGTTTCTGAATTATCTTGAATTGATGTGAGATAATTCAAGCCAAATTATAGTTGATTTAGCCTAGGTGCACACTGATTTTTAGTCAGTCGATAGTTGGGCCCGATTCTAATATAATTTTTGTGAAGAATCGGTCGATCCAATATGCGCACTTTCATACAGTGACATCTCTCTGCTGATTAACAGCCCGAGCCAACTATCGGCCAACTAAAAGTTGGTGGTCTGCACATAGGCTTATTCTTAAATCAGATTCAGAGTTTTCATTCTTACCAAATTTCATTACTTAAGTAGAAAAGGGGCACGCTCAAGCTAAAAATGTAAATTCTGAAACTGTGCAGTCAGCATTCTCTGCAATGCCCTGTATTATTGTAAAATGACGTTAGAAAATCATGCGAACCTACTACACCCATGTCTGTTGGGACAACATTAAGCGAATAAACTTCTGTTATCAATGAGTGAGTAGATGCCTTGATATTTTTCCCGCGTTTTTAAAACAAAGAAGCGATTCTGCAACTTTATTATACAAAAGTTTCTTGTTTCACTTAAAACAATAACTGGTAAGAGTTGAATGACTGAAATGATTGTTTAGAGTGAAACTTTTGCAACAAAACATGTAAAATGTTATAATGCTTGCACGTCTGAGTTTTCACTAAACATTTAAACTTAAAATTATTATTTTCTTGAAATTTTATATTTGTTGTATTAGTGTAGATGACAATATTATATCATGTAACGTTTCATCTTATGTACCATATTATTATACGTGTTATTTCGCAACAAAAAATTGTTTGTTATAATAAATATTATCGACCAAACTTTTCGTACGGTTGTCGAAAATTTCTTAGTGCGTAGAGCCAGTTATTAACCCGGACCCATTAATTTTCAACAGTTCTTGCGTTCTTATACTTTTTGTGAATGAAGATCGCCACATTTTAATACGCCCCTTTTTTCCCCCTTTTTAATATCTTCTCTGCCCTATAGTCCTCTAGCGCTCTGTGGGGTCTCACCTTGTGGTTTTTTTATAAAGTGCAGTTCCCACGGTTATGGTCCTTCAACGGGATAGTTAGGCAATGTCTTGAAGTTAAGACTTGGTAACTTTCTCTACTATAATTTCTAATAAGAACTCTACAAACTTTTAACTGATTCTCTTTCCACTTTCCTTTTTATAAAATAGTAATGTGCATATTTCTTTTTAAGTAGCATATATTTCATTAAGTGATATACCTTCTTAGATACTGATAGTCATAAAGCAAAAGGCAAAAAAACTTAAATTAAATCAGTCTCGCACTACCTACCTATGTATCGTAATAAAGAAATATGTATCGTAGGTAAAGGAACCATTGAAAACCTGCGCAATAGTTAGTTGTTGACCATCATAAAAAAGTCTGTGACAAATTGACTTTAGGCGTGTTAACCATTTAGTCATAATAACCACGATGCACGACCCTCGGCAATGAAAAACACGCAATGAATCACCACAGTTCAAAGACATCGTTATTTTGAAACTTAAGACTATAAGGGCATGCCACACTGGATGCCGTGGATGCGTTCTACGGGCAGCGCGTAGCCTAGCCCACATCATGTATGAATAATATTGACGGTCAGGGCAACGGTCAGCGGTCCGGGCAATACAATCTGTCAGCGATCATGACGAGGCGAGGAAGCAATCTGTCAGTGGTGCGGTTTGCGTTCTTTGCTCATGCGGTCGTGCCCGCACGGTCAAACCCCATCAATACAAAATGTATAGAGATCAACAATGTTGTTCTACATGATGCGGTCTGCGTTCACTTTGACCGGCAGAATGCATCCAGTGTAGCAAACCCTTAATGGATGTTAATCGAGTAAACTCATTGTAGTGCGCGTACGCATTCTCTCCAAACAACGCACTGGGTTCAATTTGCACAACAAAGCCCCCGGTTATTAAACAATTAGCACGCTTTCTTATTAAATAAAGCAGAACAATGGATTGTACGCACAAAAATATGAACTGTCTTAATCAGTTTAATTGACGAAATAAAAGTGGGAATTAAGTTTTACAATGGCGATTAACTCTGTGTTTACATTATTTCCACGTTAACTTGAAAAAATCCGATTGCCTAATGTAAGAATCGAACCCATGATATTTCGCTTGCCTACGTCTGCTCTCACCATATGAACTACTTACATTTACACATTGAAGTAATATTACTACGTATAGAACAGACATCGCGAACAAAATATGTACAATGCGGGGTGCGGGGCGGGAATTTGACGGACAGCTGTCAGTCAAATCCATGACTATCAAGTTTCATAATTTATGGCGATAAAATCTGCACCAGAAAATGTCGTACTTCATTGACAGGATTGCACGAATAGTGACGTTCCTGCGGTCGCCTCATCATAGACATTGTGAAACGATTGTGAATATAAACAAATCGGCTAAATTGTGTTAAATTTTCATGGTGCTCAAAAAGGTTCAGCTACTTACATTATTTTCTTTTATTATATTGTGCGTTTCCTGTAATGTAATCTAAGCTCCCCTCCCTTAGACTAAAATTAGCCCTCCTAGACAAGTGACAAAACGTAGCAGTTGAAACATTCGAAATCACTTCGCTCTGCCGTTTTTTGGTGTTAGTTACTTCACTCTGTGATGCGATTTTAAAATTACAACTGGCGATTCCGAATTCACAACTGAGGGGACTAAGGCTAATCGTGTTACTTGTGCTACAAGTGCGTATGGGCTTCATACTGATGCTTAAGCCATTAATTATTTTTTTTCCCGATTAAAATCTAATGTAATCGATAATAGCCTTGAGAATCGTTAACTGGTATTTTCTAATTCGATAAAAAAATTACCCATCTCTAGTTTAAAACTGTCATCCAACAGCGCACGAAATATTATGAGTTATAGATAATGATACCATTACAGAGGCGACACTTCGTTTACGTTTAGTTTCTGCCTATTGAATTGGATACTGTAAGGAAACATCGTCATCATCATTTTAGCTACTGGACGTCCACTGCTGAACAAAGGCCTCCTCTAATGATTTCCACATCGCCCAGTTGATAGTGGCCTGCACCCAGCGTCTTCCTGCTATCTTCAGTCAGTCCATCTTGAGATTTTAGAAAAATTCCCACTCGTCACGGTAGGAACAAAGCTAGGGATGACCCACGCCTTCACTCCAGAACCAATAAAATAACTGAAAGTCAGAAACTTTCAGTTATTTTATTGTCTCTATTGTTAACTATCTCAGTGGTTGAGTACACGTATAATAGCTGTGAGGTAGAAGTTACGGGACTATTCCCACCTCTCCTTTTCACCGCTGCATCTCCTGTGTAGCTAGCACCTAGACTAGTTGATTTAAAGCCAAGGTATATCAGTTTTTAGGTAATGACTTAGTGCATCTAAAAATGTAAAACTTTCTAGTTTTTTGTAACATTGAAAAATCTAAAAAGAAGCATCATTTTTTTTACCAAGTGTTTCTAAGAAATTTAAATGGAAGCTTTTGATGACAACGTATTGCTTACTTTTTCAGCTGTCGAACGAATCACTTTTATACTCATAGGTCCTGTACATCGGTAGATTTGGTAAATAAATGAATCCATCCGGACTCAGAAACTAAAAAAATTAAAATAGCTGTAATTTTTTAATACTGGATTTGTCGATTAAATTGATCATATTACTGCGCCCTAACGGGTCGGACACTGGTGACCAGACACACTGTACAATTATTATAATTTTAGCCTATCTCGTGAGCTAGGTGTCAATAATTAGGGTGATTTACTAACTAACCAGTCGCATACGAACAACAGCAGTGAGATTCAAACAAGTTTGATCCATGATGCCGCACGACTATTGTGTGAGCCCACCCGTAACCCAAGCTTATTTAGCTTAACACAAGGGGCTGGACGGGACTATTAGTAATTTGTGCAATACAAAGTGCTTATAATCTTTAAAAAAATCTTTTTATTGCTGTATTTAACCTTCCTTTCGTATACTAATTTATGCGTCAGTGTCAAGTCTGCGATTTTTATTCTTTGAAATTTTCGCAAAATGGCTGCCGCCGCGGTGACGCCTTGTAATTAACAAATTAAAATTAAATTAGTGTTTTAAAGTGCATAAATGTACAATTAAATGGTAAAAAGTCATTCCTTGATTTTTACTTAATATCTATCTGGAGTTATTTGAACAGTATTTTCGTCTATAGGATGGCATATTTCAAAAAACAAAACTGCACTCAAGCGTGTTGTCACAGCAACCGCTGAGCACATACTAATTGAATTTCGATCCGTGGACCTATTTACGTGCCAGAAACAGTCTAGTTGACATGTCTTCTCTAGTACGTAGTACATTATAACTCAATGCATTTACATGAATTTTTATTTGTTTATGCGGAGATACCAAATTATAAGTTTAAGTGCAAGGCTTAGACTGGAATATGTTATTAACAAAACCGACAAAGGTATTTGGAATTTATGATATTAGAATAAGCAATATGTAAGTAGTTTTGATAAAAATGTCTATTGTTTGATAAAGTCGCAAAAGTTCAAGGTTTTGTTCACAAGCTTCCATTCTGAGCTTTAAGTTGGCTCGATCTGATAATAACATTGACACATAATGAGCAAAGCCTGTTTAAAAGCTTATTTAAAATGTGTATTATATTATAAATATGATTCCTGTCTGTATTAATGTGAGTCATTCGCGTCGAGCAGAATTTTTTGAAAGTTCATGGTAGAGCTTTTTAGATTTCTTGCCTTCAGTAGTAAAGTAATAGGTGGGTAGTTGGGTACCTACCCTCTCGAAAATGTGTAATATTCTCATTATTAATCTAGCATCGGAATTTTTTGTATTTACTCGTACAGAGCTTACCTACTTATTTTGTTATTTTAGCCGTGTGATAACGATATGGAGTTGTGGATGGATTTTAAACTTAGTTATTTTTGTTCCCAGTGCCGATCACAATGCCGTTCCCAAGAACAGAAGCCGGGCACCTGCCCCATACAGGACACACCAAAATGGGCAGCCGCTTGCGTGGAAGCCTGCAACGCTGACTCGCAGTGCGATGGCACTCAGCGCTGCTGCCATCACGGCTGCGGGTCTACCTGCAGCGAACCTTTGGACCTTCAAGTCTTACCAGGTAACCTTTGAAGAATAGAATACAACTGTCACCCGCGCTGACTCCCAGTTCCTTTAGACCTTCAAGTCTTACCAGGCAACCTTTGAGGCACAGAATACGATTGTGAATAGCACCGTGTAGATGAAGTTACAATGGGCAGCAGCTTACGAAGCTTGCAACGCTGACTCGCAGTGCGATGGAACCCAGCTCTGCTGTCATCACGGCTGCGGGTCTACCTGCAGCGAGCCTTTGGGCCTTCAAGTCTTACTTTTGAGGAGTAGAACACGATTGTGACATGCCCTTTGTTCCGTTAGTTTCACTTCACGGGTGAAAACATTACTTGGATAATCGTAATAATTCTTCGAAAAAGTAAGCCACACATAATTAGTTGTGTAATCAGGTAATTTATTAATATGAGCATGTATGTTTGTAAGCTAATTTGATTCTTATGCGTAAAATATACAAATTAATTACACATTCATAAGGATAAAATAATACAATCTATTACTGATTAGTCGTTACGTTGGCTTTTCTATTTTTCTTTAGCTTGCCCACTTTATACATAATCCATAACAAAAGGATTTATAACACTTTTTTATTACTATTCTTCCCTCTAACCACTAACCGGCCATTGTGGAAATCATTGTGGGAGGCCTATGTTCAGCAGTGGACGTCCTATGGCTGAAATGATGATGATGATGATGAATTATTCTTCCTCAGGTCTCCCTGCTTTGCCAACGGTAGACAAAGTGAAAGAGAAGAAACGTGCTGTGGTCGTCCAGTGGTCTGATGGCGTGGGAGACGCAGCCAGAGCCGTGCCAGGTCGGATCCTGTACATCTTGGAGGAGCAGCACCACGTAGGCCCCAAGTATGAAGAAGCAAGGCTCGGGGACTGGAATATGCTGCTGAGAACCAATAAGTAAGTACCTAGCTTTAATCATAATGTTATGATAACGATACCTTATGGACCGACGACCTCATAAAGGTAGCAGGAAGGCGCTGGATGCAGGCCACCACCAACCGGCCATTATGGTCATCATTTGGGAAGGCCTATATTGTTCAGCAGTGGACGCCCTATGGCTGAAATGATGATGAACGATGCCTTAAATCATGCTCGATGTGTACTGGCCTAATAGATTAGGAAACGTCACTAGTATGGGAGCTAGTTCAGATCCTGTACATAACACAAGTGTATGGAAGCATGAAAACCAGCGTTATCTGTACTCGTGCCTAGAAGTAAAATTCAGGATTTTTTTTATGACGAATTAAATGATGAGAACTCGAAGGATGATTTTACGTACGAGCTAATAGGTTGATATCAATATAACCAAAACATTTGGTTTTCACCACGCCTACAATACCTTTTCCAATTTTTTAAGCGTAGCTTGTAAAACTTAACACTTTACCGTCAGCTCACTTAAAATGTTTTAAAGCACTCGCTTAGAACTTGGTAGCAGGTGTGTTGCATTCAGGTCGTTCAAATAGAGAGTACCTACTCTATTATTCCTGAAACAATTTCGGATTCACGACCACTCTGCTCTACCATACATAGCGGAATTGTCTTTTGTAGGTAGTTTACAATGTTAATGTAGTTCTTAAACAATCGGAGATGGTAGCATTGTCTTTCAACTCAGGGTTATAATAACTTTTAGTAGTTGAAATTAAGCATCCAAGACCAGGTTGCTTAAACGAAAACAGACGATTTGATAGAGCCGTACCTACCCATAGGACTCAGCTTAAAACACTAAGGGCCGTATTATACAATTATATCAAAACTCTAGGTATATAAACTATATAAAGTGAAGACTGATGCTATTTTAATGATAACGGGACAGAGAAAAACATTTTTCAGTAAATAAGCTGATCAAAATCGACTTTTTTATCTTCAAAATCCATCACAGACTAAAATAAAGATTTAAATAAAGATTCATTTCATAACGACTTGAAACCTCTCCACTAGGAGTAAAGTTTAAAAAATCAAACAAATGAACGAATTCTTCTAAATTTTGTTGCGTGGAACTTACCCTACCAAATTAAGTAACTCTGTAGGTCAATACTCGCGTAGTACCTAAACAATGACTTTAATTGGCGATGCATTTAATTCCTACGCTTTCTATCACGTCTTCCGCATAAGACTGTTATGTCTCTAGTATGTAGGTATGCTCATCACTCCGTAACTAATAGTAACAATGTAGTGACGTAAATGCTCACTTAATATTAATTCCCTTCTTCATGAATCGTTCTACGACAGGGTTTCCCAAACTATGGGTCGTGGTGACCCAGTGGTGGGTCGCGAACAAACATTAATGGGCCCTGCCTGTAGAACGACGACACACCATCCTACCGATCCAACCACTGGGCAGCGGGCGAAATTTCCTATAGGTGGGTCCCGAGTTTGGGAACATGTATTAGATGAGTCGTAGCCCAGACAACTTTGGAAACCACTGTTCTACAAGGTACGGCTTGGGGCTGATTTTTTCCAATCGCCGGAAAATTTTTAACTGAACAATAAGTATTCCAAAGAATACCTACCTATTCGTAACTACTAACCACATTTTTCTTACTGAAACAAATACAATAAATAATGAATGTTGTAGTCTACGAGTATAATAATGTCGTTCGTCTCTTAATCATTTCATCACGCGATAATAAAATGTTTGATTGGATCGTAATTTAGAAGCTCACTGGAGCACTTGTCCAGTGTCTGTTTCTGTCAATTTGTTTCCCCGCAAATATTACAAATTAATCATCGCTACCTGGGTTTCAATTCAATTATTATCAAAGTTCGATTATAACGAGCTGGAACCCAATTAATTGTAAGTTGTAACCTTTCATAACATGATTACATCACGGGCTCTGGAATGAATAATAATCCTACTTCATTGCAATTTCGTAGTGTTTTTATTGTCCGTAGCTGACCCTATAAATATGCAAAAATTGTACACTCATCTAAGGTGCATACGAGAGTGATGCTGTCAGTTTGCCTGAAATTTTATATCACCTGAAAGGAGTTTGAAGAAGGTTAGGTATAAGAATATCTGAAGATAATGAGACGATCTAGTGAAGGTCGCGTCAAGTGCCTGGATCCGAGCAGCGCAGGGCCAGTCTTTGTGGAAATCCTTGGAGGAGGGAGGAAAATAAGCTGAATGACGTCCACTGCTGGACAAACCAGCAGTGGACGTCATTCTGCTTATTTTTAAAACAACTTGTAAAAATCTAATTGCCTAAGGTGGCCTTATTTTAAAAAAATAGACTCGATCCTTCACTCAAGAATATCCTTTTTTTTTTTCAGGACTAGATCATCCCTAAAGAATCTTCTGAAACCTGGCCGTTGGTATCGGTTCCGAGTGGCGGCCGTGAGCGCGTCAGGCACCAGAGGTTTCTCAGAGCCTAGCGCCCCCTTCACTCCGAGGAAAGGGCCAAGGAATCCCCCGCCTCCGAAGAAACTGAGAGTCCACCCTATGAAGGCGGAAAACGGTAAGCCAATCAAGAAACCGTAATTTCAATCGTTTTGTTTAGATATCCGATAGTTACGTTATCGATTTACGTTTGAGGATATTAGTAAGCAACTAAAAACATGTTCGGATATAAAAGAAGAATTTTATTGATTGTTTTATGTAATTTATTTGTGGGTGTTATATCAACCAATCAATTAAAGTGGATTTATTGTTGCCGGTTGACTAAAAATATGTGTTAAATTTATTAGATGTTGAATTAAAATATTTCATAAGGTTTCATCTTTTAATCAACATTCTCTAACTTTGCATTTTTATAACACAAAATCAGCTTTCACACAATAATACTTAAAACTTATTTCTTAGGAAAATATTTTTATTTTATGAATTATATCAAAAACACCTAATATCAAAATAAATTCCCGCAGGGACCGTTACCGTCAGGCTGGAGTGGAAGGAACCCAACTCTGACTTGCCAGTCATAAGGTACAAAGTCTACTGGAGCCGCCGCGTCAAAGGCCTAGCTGGACCGCTGGATTCCGTGTTTGTCAAACACCAAATCGTCCCGAAGGTACGAAAAGCATGGATTGAATTCCATAGCATTTTTTTCTTTTTTATAGCCACTAAAAAAAGGATAACATGCCAGAAGTTTTTAAATCAAGCTGTTTTAGATTGACGAGGTTTGATTATGGTGCTCTTTGTGTGGGTAATCTTAAATAGATATACTTTAAGAGTGTATTTTGACTAAAGTATACCATATCACTGAAACTTTTTCATGATAACTACTGTAAGATCTGCGATGATCCCCTTTGCACTACTTCGTTCGTAGCCAGTTTCGTAGCTGGCTTATACGGGTATAAAAAATCTAATTTCGAAGCCGGCTACGAAACGGGATTAAAATGCCATGTCGGTCCAAAGGGCGATGATCTGGCTGGATCTGGCATGCAAAAAAAAAGTCTTTTAATAACATTCACTTTTACCTTCCACAGGAACAAAACTACGTCGATATCACCGATTTGCTACCGAACTCCATGTATTTCCTTCAAGTGCAAACGGTCAGCCAATACGGTCAGAGCAAACTACGAAGCAATAAGGCTTCCATTTTCTACAATACCACCAATGTGCATGAAAATCAGCGGATAGGTTGGTATTCTGTAGGTACCTATAAGGAAATCGCGCATTTTCAAACGATTAGTGTCGCAACACAAAATAAAATTTGTGGTCGGGGTTCGAATACCAATTCACACGCAGGTATAGGGATTGCCATAAAATGTATGTAGTATTTACTAGACAGGCTGTGTGTCGCTAAAAATTTGACAATAGGTAAATGGGGGAATTTCAGCTACTCATTATGACATTAATTAAGTTATGTATTAAATTAATAAATCGAGTGGTGAACAGGGTTTGGTCGTAGAAGCGAAATATATTTTAATGAGTTGCTCCCTCAACTCATCTGTAGTACCTACCTACATAATTAATTTTCATTTCTTCTGCCTAACTTATTTGATTTACTTATAATGGAAGCAGTAAAATACCCTTAAGGTGTGGACTAGCTAAGTAGGCATCAAAAGCTCACATTCTGTAAAATAATGTACTTAAGTAACCTAATTAGGTACCTACTTTAGTTTATGTATTTCTATTAGGAATAGGTATATTAAATGTACTAATATTCTATTTATATTTCAGATGCCCCACAACAGCTAGTGCAAAAGAATGATAAATCAAAAATTAAAGGACTTAAATTGCAGAAAATCGTTTGGTATAATCATAAATTAAAAGCAAATATTTCATGGGAACCTCTACCAAAAAATAATGAACAACCCAGAAAGTAAGTTATAACAGTAGGTAACAGTTAAAAAGCTTAACTTTGTTAATTCAATTTTGTTTAATAAATCCCGCGAGCCTAGCTTTAAATTTAATATTTAGTATTTTTTATTTTAGGTAAATTAAAAAACATGTATTTTTTTCCAGATATTTTGTCTATTGGCAAACCCTAAAATGTGACCAGCCCAAAAAAGACTTGACCGCAGTAACAGAGGTAGGTTAATAACAAAATCAAATTACGTTAGATCTTCAAAACATCGAAAAATATTTTTTTTCTAAGAGTACTTAATAACTACCTAATCTTTAAGTTTAGAGTATTGCAAAACGCGCCCCAATACCTTTATCTGACCATTTTTTATCGATATCTAAGAAGTTTAAATAGGTTACGTACTTAGATATATTCCGTAGAGTTTTAAATTAAATAAGTTTGTAAGTAATCGAATTTTATTAGCTTCTATCTGACTAGTGGTTTTGTTAAGTTACCAAGTTAATCAATAAGCCTTGAAAATGTGTGAGCTTCATTAATAATCTAGGTCAGTAATACGATAGGTGGTTGGTTCTGCGCAAAGGTGCTCCAGTTGAACAGCATGTGAATAGAGCGAAGTGAATGAAAACGCGCAAGTCTGCTCTGCCCGCGCTAACTTTTTAAAAATGACATGACCACTGACCTGAAGCTAGCAACCAAATAGAAAGACCGCGAATGTTCGAGTTGCCATCATTAAATTTTGAAATTCTACTATACTTGATTTTTACCCGACTATGCAAAAAGGTCGGTTATGTTTTTAAACCAATAATTTTTGTTTCAGAAAAATACTTTCGAAATTTACGAACTCAATTACCGCTGCAGCTACAAAATAAATGTTAACAGGTCACGAAAATCGAAGAAACCTGATTCTGAACTAATAATAAATGTGCCTGGTTGTGAATACTTTAAACAAAAAATTAACGCTACGAGTTTAAATTGTAACACTTGATAAATTTGTAATGAAAATTTTACTTAATGTAGAACAATTTGAGTGTAGTCTAGTGTATTACAATTAATTAATATTTAGGTCAACTTTTCAAAATACGACTTTGTAAGTACCTAGTTACTTTTTGAAATTGAGATTATGAACTATACATAGTACTTTTATACCTTAACTTTTTATCTTATAAGAACCACCACCAACTTAGAAAGAATGATTTTAATTGTAAAATTAAATGTTAAATGTGAGAGACATCTTAATTATTTTGATCTAAGAATAAATTAATTTATTGTGAAAATAAAGTTTAAGAAATTATAGATTGTTTTATTTCTGTAATAACTATGAAGTTATTTAGAATCATTACTTTTGTAAAAGTTTTGTAGTGATATCTTGGATTTGAAAATGGTAGCAATTAATAAACTGTGTTCCGCACTCTTGAAAAAAAGCCTAACTTATCCTAAATTATGCACTTTACTATGCCTATGTTAAAGTAAGTTAGTTAGTAACAATAATAATTTATTTAAAAAAATAAGAAGATCTTCCCTGAGGGTCCACGTAAAAACTTATTGTTTCGGGAAATTTTGCCATTATCAAAAATTAGTAAAGATAGTTTATATTTCTTTGGTTAGATAAACAATACTTTTTTAGGTAGGGGAACCTGTTGNGGTTCCCCTAGGCATAATATTAATTGTACGTATCTTTAACAGAATTAATCATTAAATTGAGTATTTGGAAACAGACGATTTGTTTTAATAAAGTCAATAAACGTGTTGACACCAATAATCAATTCACGTGCTTACTTTTAAAACTGACAAAACGAAACTCTCCCATAGATTTTGATTGGCATTTTAGGCAAGTGACGTCAGTATTTTGTCAATTCAATCAGACTACCTACTTTTTCTAATTACATTGCGACCAATAATCGTAATTTACAGGTAATTTAAAATTAACTAAGTTTTTAAGATCACAATGAAGTTTAATGATTTTTTAATAAAGTTATGATTTCGAATTATTGCGGAATGGTATCACATCGTCTATTATTATTACATAATATTGATTTATTATTTATATTTGGGACACAGAAAATAAAAAAAATGAATAATGGTTCAGAATTAAAATTGTTACAATTGCTAGGCCTGTTCATCTCCGCGAGTTTATATCGAAAACAAAACACGCACGATTGCCCCCTACAAGAGTACTATTCGACAAGGCCTCACATACGAGCGAACATTGACTCACGCACGCGTATTCTTGTGTATGATGGAAAAAAATAAAGAAAATGGTGTACTAAATACTGTGCAGTATTTAACTGCCTAAATAATAATAAAAACACAGAATGTACTTCTTTAAGTTGCCTGAAGACACTGAGAGGTAAATAAGTAGTTAATATTATTCATGATAATTCATGCTAAATCATGTATTTCCTCCGCCATTTTCTGCAGATTGGCACCTCACGTCACATCATTTTACCGAAGTCAGCCCTATAGCTTCGGCGCAGTACCGATCACTGACGTTTGTCAACAAAACTTCTGACAAACTTGCTTGACTCTTGAGACAAGCTAAATTACACCATATTGTTAATGACATTGAGCATACATTTTTTTAAATACCTTCGCGAAGTAAAACTTCTGTACGTAGTACTTATTATTATTCTGTGCAATAACCCTATTTTTATAAGATCGATGGCGGGCCGCGATTTGTGCATCCTTGACTTACATCAATATATAATATTTATATTTTGCTGTCAATTACCAATAAATATTATCAATCTTTATTTATTGGCGCAAAATATAAATTATTCTATTTTTTTTATTATAATTTTCATCATTGATCATACCAATAAAGATTCTATTTATGGAAAAATAACTAAATCTACTAATCGGTCATTTTTGTCTTAGAATGGCAACATTGATTCCAATTCGCAGCTCACTTCACTACAGACTTTTGCAACCCTCGTAGTATATAATGTCAAAAGAAAATAAAACTATTTTCTGATTTTGAAGAATAATCGAATTAATAATTTTGCTATTTTAACACAGTTAATTATAAGATTCACTATTCTGCACGTAATTTTACTATAGTATTGTATTTTACTTTCCGAATCTTTAATGTTGTTCTGATATCCTTTTTGAAATAGTATTAGAAAATACAAGTCGTAATTTTATGATATAAAATGCACTATTTAGGGTTAATCATGTTTTTCCGTGATTTATTTACGATCACAACTCAAGACTTCCTGTTCAAATATCAAGTGGTGTTCATTTAATAGTTAGTGGCTTTAGAAATTAAGAATTTACTCCCTGGGCGTAACCTTTTTATCCTGGGCACGGAAGGCTGTGTGAAAATGTTTGAAACCTTTTTCTGAGATCTGGTGAACTGTGCTTGTGTTGGATCATAATGGCTGAAGACGAAGTGCTATTCGACGATGTGTACGAGCTCTGCGAAATAATTGGGAAGTAAGTACACTTTTGAGCCCAACCTTGGATGAAATTGTCAGACTCACGAGCCTTTGCAAATAAAGCGCGCGTAATATTTTGAATGTAGGTCCAGTCTCTGTAGTGATTGTAAGACCTGGTTAATCATTAAATATTAAAATGTTAGTCTGTATCAAATTAGTCTAAAATGTATTAAATTTATCAAAACACTATTACAAAATAATTATATCATAATGTAAAATTGTAATTTATCAACAGTTTCTGCACTAAAAAATTATAATTGCTTTTTGCTATAATGAAACATCAAGTTATAAAGTGATACATTTATTTCATGTCACTATTTGTTTAAATTAATTAGCATTAAATACTTTTAAATCATGCATCAATAAGAAGTCTACAAAGTAATAATTTAGTGTGCACATTTCGTAGTTAGTGACAGACAGAAATTAATATGTACCTAATGAAGATAGTCAGGTCAGACTTCTCATTACACTTAACTATTGAAATAATATGACTTGACTAAGAAAGTAAATCAAGTCAACAAATACCAATTTCATGTATTTTTACTTGCTGCTTAGCTAAAATAAACTTACTCTGATCATAAGGATCAAATCAATCACAAGTAGTAAGAACTAAGAATCTATTAAATTAAATGATTATTTGTGTTAAGAGTCTGTATGATAATTTTAATATAAGTCATTTCAATATTTCATAAAATGTCCCTAGCACAATATTCTCTGGACCTAAGGCTCCACATTTTTCATTGTTGTCTGTTGGTTTAACCCTGTCCACTAAATCCATCCCAAAGACGGCCAGATTTTATCCTTTCATCATTTATTCTGCCTATTATTCTATGCTGTCTCCAAAACCCCAGAACCTTCATTAAACTTAAATTATTTCTACTAGGGGACCATTCAGCTTGGTGCGAAGATGTGTGCACCGCCAGACCGGTCAGCAATTTGCTGTCAAAATCGTTGATGTTGCTCGCTTCACTGCGAGCCCCGGATTGAGTACTGCAGGTACAATTTTATTTTTTATAGTTCAACACCCTAATTAGAAGGGTAATCCCAAAAAATTACATTGAGTAACATAGGTTTGCATGGCATCTCAACTAAGCTAAAATTTACTAATAATGGACTAACAAATAGTTTTAATTCAAGTTACTTCCTCATGCAATGTTAGAAATCTATAAAACTTTTGCTAGAACTATTGAATTCGTCATATTCATTTGCCAAATAGAGACTGTGACAAATAATTTTTGCTCTACGCAAACAATTTTCTTCCCAGTCATTGAATTGATGATGCATTACAAATTTTAACTACGTCTTGGCAGCAGTTTCACTGAGAATGTTTATTTATATTAATAAAGTCTTGGTAAACAACGGTAAATAACAGAGAGCTCTTAGTAATACATAGATAACACAATATTGTACACCAAAATGATAAAAAAATTAAGAGATACGTAAAAGAAATGGTACAGTACAGACATGGTTGACTAATTCAAATTCAAAAAGTCTTTGCCATGTCACATTACATTATTTATTTTTATTATTATTATTTATTACAGCAAAACATCAGAGACTATTGAGAGGAGAGTTGTTTTTAATAAGTAAAAAGGAAATACATAATATTATTTGTTAACAATTTCAGATCTGAAGCGTGAGGCTACGATATGCCACATGCTGAAACATCCGCACATTGTGGAGCTCCTCGAGACTTACAGCTCCGAGGGAATGCTCTACATGGTCTTTGAATAGTAAGTTTCAGGTCATTTTGACAGCACACAAACTTTTTACCTATTACAAATGCAGAAGTCACCACAGGTTTTAGGCTAACGGTTTAAGTTGATTGAATAATAATACTGATGATTTCACTTCTGCTTACAAAAATTATAAGATGTTTAATCTGTTTTATTCATGCTTTTAAGTCGATCATTATTTAATTACCTAATGATTGAGTTATCATTAGCTTCTCAATATAGTTTAATCAACATTTTTTCTATGAACATGAAATAATTTGTGTTGTATGTGATTTTCAGTATGGATGGCTCTGACCTCTGCTTTGAGGTGGTTCGCAGGGCCACAGCTGGATTTGTTTACAGCGAAGCCGTGGCATGGTAAGTAATAACTAACATGCATAATTTGTAGTAAAGTAATTTTACCATCCTTGAAACCATTTTATTACTAACAGGAAAGTTTTTGTACATTCTGAATTTTTATGTGATAAATATCCATTATATTACGTCATTTTAATAAACCCAAAAAGGAAGATTATCTTGTTATACTTACATGTACAATTTATCAGGGATTTATGACAACAAGAAAAAAAAATTAATCTAACACGATTCTAGATGTGCGACGAAATCGCATCGTTTGTCTGTTTGTCAATAGGGTAGTGATATCCTAGTTTGATATTTTGTATTGCCATGGAGAATATTACGTCATTAGGTCGAGTCATCGCGAGTTTAATTGAGTGATATTTTATTGATTTCAAAATTCAAAGCAACTAGAATGAATTTATGCCTTCTGTTAGTGAAGTAGACAAGTGGTCAGATTAACTATGTTGGGATAAAATCTATTCAAATCGCGTCGTAAACGCCTTCACCATCTCTGAATAATCCTTCAAACTTCTTAGAAGTAATGTTTTTTTTTAAAGAATTAGTAATTTGTGCAATACAAATTCCGATTCGTTAGCCCCTCGTGGTAAGCTAAATAATTATCCTTTTGTTACGTACGAGTGGGCTCACCACAATACTCGAGCGGCGGTGGGATTCGAACCCGCGTTCCTCGGATCTTGAGTTGGTCAGTCCGACCCCTTCACCGCTATCGTGACTTCTAAAGCTTCAACCACACCAACGCGTGCAGATAGCTATCGCCATCGCCATCGTGAACTATCATAGGTCGCGCGACCTGTCATTGACCTTTGATCGCGCCGTGATCGCGCCGGCGCACTATGGAGCGAAATTGCGATTTATGGACATAGCGATTTTTTTCACAATTTCTATTTGAAAAAAATACCTATCGATAGGTTACGTTATTCTGATGAATAAATGCTGCACAAGTTTTTCTCTAAAACCAATAGTTTGACTGGAAAAAAATATTTTCCATTTTCGTTGTATGGAATGAAACATAAAGTGGTCGATTTCGACTAAGCCTTGACAGATCTTGCTTTGAAACTACTTGAGCCTTGTTCTATGGCTTGTTGACTGTAATCCTACGCTATCAGCGCGCATCCAAAGTTGCCCGTTCACAAGTTATGAGGTTCTGAAAAATTAAAAAAAAGTAAGTAAAAGTGACTTTTTTTTGGAATATCTTTAAAGATTTAACAAAAATATAAAGATTTTATACGTTAATAATGTAAATTAACCTTAAATTACTGCTAAAAACACATTTTAATAAACTTAAAAGGAATTAAATCAGCGATTTTTTTTTCACAATTTCTGTTTAAAAAAAATACCTATCGATAGGGTATGTTATTCTGATGAATAAATATTATGAACGTTTTTCTCTAAAACCAATAGTTTGGCTGGAAAAAAATATTTTCCATTTTCGTTGTATGGAATGAAACATAAAGTGGTCGATTTCGACTAAGCCTTGACAGATTTTGCTTTGAAACTACTTGAGCCTTGTTCTATGGCTTGTTGACTATAATCCTGCACTAACAGCGCGCGCCCAAAGTTGCCCGTTCAGAAGTTATGAGGTTCCAAAAAATGAAAATTAAAGTAAGTAAAAGTATCTTTTTTTGGGTATAAATCTTTAAAGATTCAACTAAAACATGAAAATTATATACTTTAGTAATGTAATTAACCTTTCTCTTGTCGTCTTATCTAAAGAAAAGTCAATTTTACTTACTTTAATTTTCATTTTTCGGAACCTCATAACTTCTGAACGGGCAACTTTGTGCGCGCGCTGTTAGTCTAGGATTATAGTCAACAAGCCATAGAACAAGGCTCAAGTAGTTTCAAAGCAAAATCTGTCAAGGCTTAGTCGAAATCGACCACTTTATGTTTCATTCCATACAACGAAAATGGAAAATATTTTTTTCCAGTCAAACTATTGGTTTTAGAGAAAAACTTGTGCAGCATTTATTCATCAGAATAACGTAACCTATCGATAGGTATTTTTTTCAAATAGAAATTGTGAAAAAAATCGCTATGTCCATAAATCGCAATTTCGCTCCATAGTGCGGCGATGGCGATCTCCATGCGATGGTGTGGTTGAAGCATAAATCTGAACTAAACATCTTTCAATCTTTGTTGGAATTTTGTAAAGCAATCGTAATCATTTGACAGTTCAAACGTATGATAAAGTCCGTTAAACAAAGCGTTTGACTGACAGAATAATCGTATGTTATGAACTGTCAAATGATAACGATTGCTTTACACAATTCCACCTCTGCTCATCTTCCAGCCACTACATGCGTCAGATTCTCGAAGCGCTCCGCTACTGCCACGAGAACGACATAGTGCACCGAGACGTGCGGCCGCACTGCGTGCTGCTGGCCGGGCGCGACAACTGCGCGCCGGTCAAGCTGGGCGGGTTCGGCGTCGCCGCACAGCTGCCCGCGCCCAGCGCGCACCGCACGCCGCCAGGTGATGACGTAATCTGACGTTTTACCAAATGACGCGTATGACTATGACCTTTTTTTTTGAGTGACGTATCTGAGTCATTTGAGTGACGTATCCGAGTCATTTAGTGACGTATCCGAGTCATTTAGTGACGTATCCGAGTCATTTATAGTGACGTATCCGAGTCATTTATAGAGTGACGTATCGGAGTCATTTAGTGACATATCTCAGTCATTTATTGATTGACGGTCTGAGTTACTGGTGACAAATCTAGGTCGTGTTTCTTTGTCAAGCAGAATATCTGAATCATTTAGCGTCTTTGAGTAACTTATCTGAGTCCTTGTGCTTCCATTATCAAGCATTCTCCTTTATTAGTGACCGAGGTCACAACCACCCTCCTTGTAAACTGTCTCCGCTCCTGCCGCGAACGCCATAGTGCACCGCGGCGTGCGGCCGCGCTGCGTGCTGCTGGCCGGGCGCGACAACTGCGCGCCGGTCAAGCTGGGCGGGTTCGGCGTCGCCGCACAGCTGCCCGCGCCGAACGCGCATCGCACGCCGCCGGGTAATGACGTCAGCTGAGTCGTTAGGCGCTTTTTGAGAACCCAATTAGTGCAATAAAAGAGACATTTACGACTTATTTTGTTAAGGGACGTATTTGAGTCGTGATTCTTTTGTCAAGTGACTAATGCCTGTTTTCACCATCAATCCCTAATACAAAGTGACTCCTATGAAAACAAAATGCCTGTTATGTGTCACCATAGGGGTCACTCAAAAATTAGCGATTGATGGTGAAAACGGGCATAAGTCTAAGTAATTTCTGTGACGTATTTGAGTCATTTTTGAGTGACCTATCTCAGTCATTTATTTAGTGACGTTCTGCCTCGATGTGATTGTTTTATGGAGGGTTCTAGATATTATTAGGCGGCTTTTATCTTCCACTTTTATCGTGCTTCTTTTATCGACTGAGATTCTTTGACTGACGTACTCGTATCTCAGACATCTTTCTTCTTTTATCAAGTGCCGTATTTGGGTCATTGAGCGATCTAGATGTTGACACGTTTCACCTGACTCCTCCTCTTATGAAGATAACTGTAATAGGGACTCCTTTCTCTCTATTTTTTACTACATATAATATAAGTCTAAATTATTAGTTGGTTGGACCTAGAAATTGCATTTCCATTACTGATATCAGTAGTTCTCTTAGCTTGTAGCATGCTTAAAGGTGTATTCATACTTCATTGTGTATGCGATGCGTGCTCTGTATGGACCACAAACCGGTGCATGTGTGAGCCACACCTCGGTCTCATGCAAATACATACGCCATTTTGCAGTATGAATTTAACTTTATGCAGATTACGTTATCATTTGTGAATGAATAATTTTCTACATATTTATTTAGGTTCTAATCTTTTCCTCTTTAGCGAATGCACAATAGAATTTTCACTTTACAAGAAAAAAATACTTGTCACTACAATTTGTCACAAGTATGGTCTAAAATACATTAATGGTTAAAAGTGCAAATGTATTTTGCTCGAGTATCGATTTCTTTGAGGTTTCAGAGTAATTGAATTATACTAATAAATCCATAATTTACTAGTTATTCCACAAAAATCACAGTGACCACAATTTATTATTTAGGTATTCATTCGTTTTGTATGAAGATGATGACGTCAGATTGTATTGTACAGAACTGGTGATGGACACCCGACCACTTATGGGTCATATGGGCCAAGCGTATCTGAAATCAGACGAATATGGTAAGAAGTTGACCTGACTTCGGACCATTTGTGACCTAACTGCATGGACATTGTGCAACTAATAATACCACTGTTCGAGCTAAGCGAGCATTAATTATAACGATTAAAGCCTCAGCCAAACCAACGCGTGCAGATCGCGTCGGCGATGGCGATTACTGCGCGTTCATAGATCGCCGCGACCAATGACAGGACGCGTTGATGTGAACTCATCGCTACAAATTCATACACGACATCTGTTTGCTATCGCGCCCGCACGCTGAACGCGTTGGTTTGGCCGAACCTTTATTATTTACCACAGTACATATGTACACACTTTTGTGAGTAAACTTTCAAATATTAACAGAGAATTCGTCACAGATATGAAAAAGTAAAATGTAAAGTATTTATTTTAAACTTTTTAGTTCAGCATTACAAAAAAATGATTTTTTTTTAAATTCTCTTAGCTCGCCAGTGGAATTCAAACCTTATCACAACATTGCAATAAATGTCACTCACGTCATATCACCACGTATCGACACCTACCTGTCTTATGCAGCAGGCATTAAGGATTATTACAGCTTAATTTATTTACCGTCTACACCAATATGGCACCTCACCACAGTAACACTTGATATACGTAAAAGTTTGATAAAATCCAGATGTTAAAGAATTTCATAACAGAAACCTGCTCTCACAGAAGATGTATAGCACTGTAATTTTATATTTTTTTCTTCCTGTAAAATAAAAAGCACAATATAATGTTTTTTTTTGTTTCGTGGTAAGAAAGTACTGATGTTAAATTCATAGTTGTTTTCGTAGATTGATGTTAAATAGCAGTTTTCTTAAAAAATATTTACCTTACTATTATCCAGCAGAGAACTTCATTTACTCTACACCGGCCCTCCTTTCTAATAAAAAAATTACGTAGTGAATTTCACGTATCTTCATTATCCTTGTGTATCATTTTATCCAGAACGAGCCGCTGGCAGCACATCAACCTAGAGCACATCAACCACAATGGAGTTTGATCATTATATTCTTCAGCATAAGTTTCAAAATTATTTGACATTTTGTGATGGTTATGATGGGCTGTCTACTAATACTATTTAGGTATCTGCTATATTCATCTTCCAACCTGTGAATAATACACTAACCCCTTTCCAATTTTGTATTTATTTATGTACACAACTTTTAAGGCGTATGATAATAAGGCTGAACCATATTGGATAACTGTAATTTTAAAATTATTAATAGTATTCCTATCTATTTCCAACGGATATCAGGCAATTGCCTAGTTTTGTTACTCATTACTTTAAGGCCGTCAGCAATTTTAACGATATATCGATACCAGATTGGCATAATAACTATTTTCTGGTGTGTCACAGGGAGGTATTTTTTCTCCAATACTATTTTCTGTCTTTATAAAATACTTTTTCAACATAAGTAATTTATCTTGCTGCTGGTACCATCTGTATTCTGATACCTACGACATTTTAACTGCATTCCGATATCAGTGAATTAAAAAAAATAGTCGGTTTCATTTGACTCTAAATGCCTGATGTTATCTGAAAAAGTTAGCTTATTACAGCTTTGCAGTATCCAATATGAAAACAATGTCGATAGCCTTACTTTTGACTAAAGCCTGGTCCGTGAGCACGTAGAATTTTGTCCAATGACCCCAAGCTACCCATCCCTATCGCTCGCGCGTAATTATGTTGCTGTCGCGCTCGCACACTCACTGCGGGCGCCCGTCGCACAGTCGCACAGCAATATAATTACGCGCGAGCGATAAGGATGAGTAGCTTGGGGTCATTGGACAAAATTGTACGTGCTCACGGACCAGGCTTTAGACATGGATTAACCCTAGGTAATCTTCCAGGCCGTATCGGGACTCCCCACTACATGGCCCCAGAAGTGGTCTCCAGCCAGCTGTATGGCAAGCCAGTGGATGTGTGGGCAGCTGGTATTCTTCTTCACGTTCTCCTGGTGGGATACTTGCCTTTTACTGGCACCAGGGAGCGCCTGTTTGAAGCTATTTGCCGCGGAAGACTGCGGGTAAGTAAGATCTGTGTCTAGATTGTAAGTAGAGCTAGAGCATGGAGGATTTCATCCAGCTGTATGGGAAGCCAGTAGACGAGTAAGCTACAGGGATATTTGTCCACGTTCTACTGGTGGGATACTTGCCTTTTACTGGCACCAGGGAGCGCCTGTTTGAAGCTATTTGCCGCGGAAGACTGCGGGTAAGAGTCCTTTATGTCTAGATTATAAGTAGATCATACGGTGTTTGGCCAGCTGTATGGGAAGCCTGTGCATGTGTGGGCAGCTGGCATTCTTCTCCACGTTCTCCTGGTGGGATACTTGCCTTTTACTGGCACCAGGGAGCGCCTGTTTGAAGCTATCTGCCGCGGTAGACTGCGGGTAAGTAAGCTAGAGCATACAGTGTTTCGTCCAGTTGTATGGGAAGACTGTTAACATGTGGGCAGCTGGTGTAGTTTTCCACGTTCTACTGGTGGGATACTTGCCTTTTATTGGCACCAAGGAGCGCCCGTTTGAAGCTATCTGCCGCGGAAGACTGCGTGTAAGAATCCCTTTATGTCTAGATTATAAGTAGATCATACGGTGTTTGGCCAACTGTATGGGAAGCTTGTGGATGTATGGGCAGCTGGTATTCTTCTCCACGTTCTCCTGGTGGGATACTTGCCTTTTACTGGCACCAGGGAGCGGCTGTTTGAAGCTATCTGCCGCGGAAGACTGCGGGTAAGAATCCCTTTATGTCTAGATTATATTATAAGTAGATCATACGGTGTTTGGCCAGCTGTATGGCAAGCCAGTAGATGTGTGGGCAGCTGGTATTCTTCTCCACGTTCTCCTGGTGGGAAACTTGCCTTTTACTGGCACCAGGGAGCGCCTGTTTGAAGCTATCTGCCGCGGAAGACTGCGGGTTAGTAAGCTTAGTGTTTACATTGTAAGTTGAGCTAGAGAATGTGATGTTTTATCCTCTGTATTGAAGCCTGTTAAATTCTCGTGTAGTTCATCCAGATGAATGGAAGCCGTTGTGATTCAGTTTCACGCGATTTTTACACATTCAAAAGTTGTAGAAAGAGTTAAAATTCTGTCATTGATACAGGGGGTTCCCATTTTGCTAATGGAAGTTGACGGCTTGCTGAAACTGAATATTAACCTTCCATGTTTTTTTTCTTACAGTTCGATGCACCCCTTTGGGATGACATTAGTGACGCTGCCAAGGATTTGGTCCAGCGCATGCTGACTGTGGATCATACGCAACGAATCAACATTCAGGATGTTCTGACCCATAGATGGATTCGGGTAATTACGAACTTCATCTCTTAGCTTAAAAAAAAAAAGAATTTGAAAGTACTTTTTAAGTGATGATGAATAATTATGTGGATATGATGTTCTTAGTTATTAAATATAACCCTTATTTCCAGGATCGTGACAAGCAGAACCGCATCCACCTCTCCGGCACTGTGGAAGAGCTGAAGAAGTTCAACAGCCGGCGCCGCCTCCGAGCAGCGACACTCGGCGCTTGCGCAGTCGACGACGAGGAGGACGAGGACGCGCCCGCCAGCCACCAGCTCATGCTGGAGGAGGCCAGCGCAGCCGGTCAGTATATAATAATACAGAAGTCCAACAGCCGGCGCCTGCAGTCGACGACGAGGAGGACGAGGACGCGCCCGCCAGCCACCAGCTCATGCTGGAGGAGGCCAGCGCAGCCGGTCAGTATATAATAATACAGAAGTCCAACAGCCGGCGCCTGCAGTCGACGACGAGGAGGACGAGGACGCGCCCGCCAGCCACCAGCTCATGCTGGAGGAGGCCAGCGCAGCCGGTCAGTATATAATAATACAGAAGTCCAACAGCCGGCGCCTGCAGTCGACGACGAGGAGGACGAGGACGCGCCCGCCAGCCACCAGCTCATGCTGGAGGAGGCCAGCGCAGCCGGTCAGTATATAATAATACAGAAGTCCAACAGCCGGCGCCTGCAGTCGACGACGAGGAGGACGAGGACGCGCCCGCCAGCCACCAGCTCATGCTGGAGGAGGCCAGCGCAGCCGGTCAGTATATAATAATACAGAAGTCCAACAGCCGGCGCCTGCAGTCGACGACGAGGAGGACGAGGACGCGCCCGCCAGCCACCAGCTCATGCTGGAGGAGGCCAGCGCAGCCGGTCAGTATATAATAATACAGAAGTCCAACAGCCGGCGCCTGCAGTCGACGACGAGGAGGACGAGGACGCGCCCGCCAGCCACCAGCTCATGCTGGAGGAGGCCAGCGCAGCCGGTCAGTATATAATAATACAGAAGTCCAACAGCCGGCGCCTGCAGTCGACGACGAGGAGGACGAGGACGCGCCCGCCAGCCACCAGCTCATGCTGGAGGAGGCCAGCGCAGCCGGTCAGTATATAATAATACAGAAGTCCAACAGCCGGCGCCTGCAGTCGACGACGAGGAGGACGAGGACGCGCCCGCCAGCCACCAGCTCATGCTGGAGGAGGCCAGCGCAGCCGGTCAGTATATAATAATACAGAAGTCCAACAGCCGGCGCCTGCAGTCGACGACGAGGAGGACGAGGACGCGCCCGCCAGCCACCAGCTCATGCTGGAGGAGGCCAGCGCAGCCGGTCAGTGACCCTACCGTGTGGTTGTGGCGACATCTATGGCCGGGTTCCCACTATGCCGGACCGGCATTTCTGCCGGAAACCGGACACCGGACAAGAGTGTTCAGTGTTCACATTACACCGGATCACTGGATCCGAAATCCGAGCCGAATGAAGTGCGGGGAGCACGGGCGGGGCGGGAAGCACGGGCGCGGCGGGGTGGTCCGCAACTCGTTCACATTACTCCGGTCCGGTGATTCTGCCGGCATTTTGTAGCGACAAAACGCTCGGTAAAAATGCCGGGCCCGGCGAAAAAGCCGGATCCGGGATAATGTGAACAGCTTCATACAATTTGTACCGCCGCTAGGCCTTCCGGCGATTTTACCGGACCGGGAGATCTGCCGGTCCGGCATAGTGGGAACCCGGCCTATCGACACGCCACTACTGTCATCACCCAACAGATGGCGCTGACACCTACCTGGGCCTTGCCACACTGACAAGCGATTTCAAATCGGAGCGGTGGCGCAGCGAACACGCTGCGTGTCCGCGGCGAAGAAGTCACGCTGCACGGCGGAGACGTCGCGAGTTTTGGCCTCGTGTTCCCCTTCCTTCCCAGTTCCCTCGTCTCCGCTCCGCTTTGAAAACGCTTGCAATCCGCCAGTGTGGTAGCTTGCTTACTATGGCACACGCCAGCGCGCCTGCAATCCTGCATCGCTGTACCAAAGTTCTCCGCCATGACTAAAGAAAACCAAGATGGTTAAGGACCTTGGTCCTCAAGCACAGCACCCGCTCGGAAGAAGCAATTCCCCTTTAGCTTCTTTAATGTGGTTGAAAATCTAAATCCCACATGGTCATAACAATCTAAAGTTTTGGATCACCTCCATGTGTGGGATTACGTCATCATCATCAGGTCATTTAGTCTTTATTGTACACACTACGCTCTGGAAATGGAGGCAAATGGAAGATTAGGCCAACACTTCCCACGCTGGCCAGACGGTATGTAGAAGCAAATTACGTCACCCCGTCTCACCAGATGGCGCTACTGTCTTCCACTAGTAAATGACAGTGGCGCCAACTAGTGAGCGCAAAATTAAATATGGTTGGTAGCGTGTATTGACTTCGGGAACATTGATGTTTTCGGAGACGCCTGCGCTGACTTCGGGACAGTGGTGATTTCGATGATGCTGTTTTCGGTATTCAAACCGGGTGTTTGCTTTACTTTTTCCAATATGCTAAATGTGCAATATCACTGACTGGTCTCTTCATAGTGGGGCGTTCAATCGTGCTAACTTATATTTTTTTTGTCTACAGCTGTGAACCTAGTGGCCGAATCACTGGATGACGTGGCGGTGCTGCAAGATGGGCCGCTGTTCATGGACCCCGATCTGTTCCATAGCGTCCTCGATGATTTGCAGCTGAGAGCCCTCTTAGAGGTAACTTAACATCTTTTTTTAAAGAAAATTAATTAATTTGTTTAAAAAATACTAATAGTCTCGTTAGCCCCTCGTACGTACTAAGCTAAATATGCTTGGTCTCACTACAATAGTCGAGCGGCGGCGGGATTCGATCCCGCGTTCCTCGGATTTCGAGTCGGCTAGTCCGACCCCTTCACCGTTGGGCTATCATCATATCGTGGCTTCTAACATCACATCGCTTTAGTTTAAGTTTCGCATGCATTTCCGGCACATCCTTGTGTTCAGGTCTTGTCTGCCTCAGGTTAAAATGTGGAAGTTGTAATATGTAGACATCGCACCCACGACTTCTGATATAGTACAGGTCGGACACCACTAAGTCAGGCGGCTATCTGAGAGCCAAAGCTCACGATGCGTTGCGGCGGCGGTATGACGCCTAAGCGGTGTCGCTGTGTCGTCTTACATAGAAATATCTGTGGCGGGCACACGAGCGCTGCGGCGCCGCAAAGCATCGTGTGCTTTGGCTCTCAGTTGCGACTATAAAATGTGTATAAAAAGTAAAATGTCTTGCTTGATATTATCATGGATGTCTTCGTCCTAGGTGTACGACCGCATAGCCTGCACAGTGGTGGTGACAAGCGGCCGGGCGCCCGCTGCAGAAGGCCGCCAGCGCTGCCGGCAAGCGCTTGAAGCGGCCACGCGGCTGCGGCACTCGGGGCCCGGGCCCGCCGCCGCCTCGCCCGCCACCGCGTCCGCCATCCACGAGATGAGGAGGCTGCTCGCTCTGCCGCACATCAAGGTACGTCCGCTGTGACAGCGCTGCAGCGCTGCCGGCCAGCGCTTGAAGCGGCCACGCGGCTGCCGCACATCAAGGTACGTCCGCTGTGACAGCGCTGCAGCGCTGCCGGCCAGCGCTTGAAGCGGCCACGCGGCTGCCGCACATCAAGGTACGTCCGCTGTGACAGCGCTGCAGCGCTGCCGGCAAGCGCTTGAAGCGGCCACGCGTCCCGCCGCGTCGGCCCGCCACCGCGTCCGCCATCCACGAGATGAGGCTCGCTCTGCCGCACATCAAGGTACTATCGGGGCCTCTTCCGCCTGACCACTTTGTAGAAATTTTAGCGTAAGCGCATCGCTCCGGTCACGTGCTCACCGCGTCTCTAATTGGTTACGCATTTTACTATATTTTTACTACGATCAATAAGAGACAATCAGGGCTTAGGTTGCAATACGAAATACCATTGTGCACTTTATTGTCATACGGTTAAGGTTTAAAACGAAATGTTTCTTTTTCTTCAATCTCTCTTAGTTTTAGGCTGAGTTGCACCACCTAACTTTGACCGTAACTATAACGGTAACCGGTCCTTTTTGTATGGAGTTTGACAGAATTTTGACGTTTGTTAAAGTTAAAGTAAGATGGTGCAACTCAGCCTTAGAATTTTAATAATAGAATTTGGTTACAAACAAATAGATATGTATTTTTTTTAATATTGTGTTTTTATACGAGGTCTGTCTGCTTTTTGCTTTGGCGATCTGTCGACATATTCTCTCCTTTGTTTTTTTGTGAAGTTTCGTGATCAATAACCGATTGATTTGTGTTGACCCGTGCTAGTAATTGGACTGTTTGATTGCCTTTTTATTGACCTCCGCTCGATTACTGAACCATGCCTCTAAAAATAATTCTTATATTTACTTACAAACTTATCTATACATTGTTAACTGTTTAAGTATTATTTAGTTTGAAGTTTAATTGTTATTGATTTAAGACCTTGTGTAAAGACACTTAATGTGCAATAAAAAATTGAATTTGAAATAAAACTAACTTAATCCCAACTATCCCAACTAATATTATAAATGCGAAAGTAACTCTGTCTGTCTGTCTGTCTGTCTGTCTGTCTGTCTGTCTGTTACGCTTTCCCGCTTAAACCTCGCAACCGATTTTGATGAAATTTGGCATAGAGATAGTTTGAGTCCCGGGAAACAACATAGGATAGTTTTTATCCCGGTTTTTGAAACAGGGACGCGCGCGATAAAGTTTTTCTGTGACAGACAAAATTCCACGCGGGCGAAGCCGCGGGCGGAAAGCTAGTATTATAATATTTACGATAACCAATTACCTGGATCATTGCTACCTAGTGCAATATTTATATTAAATTTTAATAACGTAGATAAGTGTTTCTTTAAAACGGAAAACAAAATATGCATTAAAAATAAATAGAAACCTATTAGAAAAAATTCATTTTGATCGCTAATGTCAGTTTGCAGCGAGTAACACAACCTCCCCGTCTGAAGGCCAGCGGCCGACTGCCGCCCGCACCCCGCGAAGGCCCCCTCAACAGCAAAACGTTCGGAATTTATCAAAAGTAAAATTTATGAATGAAAGTAATGTTCGATTGAAAAACGCAACGTGTCATTTAAAGATTAAAGAATTCTTAATCTATTCATGCAAAAATCTTTAAAATTAACATAGCCGTTTGGGAGGAGTAGGGAATTGAAGTAAAAAATCGATGTCCCGTATTTATTTTTTTAATCCACAACAAAGAGACGTAGGAAAAATTCAAACGTGTCAAATGTAGTCCTTGAACTGTTGTATAACATATATTTTTTTCAACTATTTCTGTCCAGCAGTAAAAGAGGAGTAGGCTTTACAAAATGACCATTTTACGCGGATTGAGGACACTAATCGCCTTAAAGCGGCCACGCGGCTCGCCCGCTACCGCGTCCGCCATCCACGAGATGAGGAGGCTGCTCGCTCTGCCGCACATCAAGGTACGTCCGCTGTGACAGCGCTGCAGCGCTGCCGGCCAGCGCTTGAAGCGGCCACGCGTCTCGCCCGCCACCGCGTCCGCCATCCACGAGATGAGGAGGCTGCTCGCTCTGCCGCACATCAAGGTACGTCCGCTGTGACAGCGCTGCAGCGCTGCCGGCCAGCGCTTGAAGCGGCCACGCGGCTGCGGCACTCGGGGCCCGGGCCCGCTGCCGCCTCGCCCGCCACAGTGACGCCGCAGCTACGTAACAGTGACGCAACAGCGACATAACAGTGACGCCGCAGCGACGTAACAGTTATGCAGTAGCGACGTAACATTGATTCCGCAGCGATGTAACAAAAAATATGCGAAAGTGACGCCACCGCGATGGACCGCGTAATCCATCGATGCAGACAACCATCAGCACTTATAGTTGAGGCAGACTCCGAGATTGTATTGTAAGTGAAGCAGATCTCCGAAATATATCTGCTAAGGAGAACGATAGTAGATAAAATGTACAAGTTTAAAAAAAATCGTCTTTAAAGTTGTATGAAAAAAAAAACAAAAAATTCATTTTTGAAAACATTGCCATGATTATATTCAAAACCACTCGTTATTTGTACTGGAAACGATTTTTTATCGTTATAACTAGTCTTTAACCTGTTCGAAGCGTTTCTCGCCCCTTTTACGCCTAAATATCTCGTTAGTTTTTGTATTCCCTAAACAAGATTCAAAGGTCCATAAAGGGAAATCCTTTTTTCCACATGCTCGAAAACGTTACTTTATTATTTATAAGTATTTACCCAACTTGGGGCGCGGTTACAGTTACAATATAATAAACTAGTCTGCGTTATATCCCTCAGGTGCCGTATACATTTATGAAGAGGTTATTACTAACATAGACATTAGACATCTAAAACGAAGTAAACTGAAGAGGTTATAACTAACATAGTCATCTAAAACGAAGTAAACAAATAACATTGGAATTTGGAACGCTTTCAGTTATTGTTGTTGATCTTGACACAAAAATTTGCATAATGTATGGCGCTCAATCGCATTCGTCATTTATAAGATTCTCGAATCACATCCAATTTCCCTTGCTTATGATACAAAAGCTATCCCACCGCACCCGATACTTTGAATTTATCACTTTGTTTTGCTAGCAATTTCCATAATCGGTACGTTTTGTGTCATTTGACGACGGAATGCCAACGGGCTGCGTTTATTCACCGAAGCGTAACCCTTACAAAACTTTTATTGGACCACACGTGCTACGAATACGAAATGAGACAGGCACAGGGCCGTATTGGTTGGACAATTGGGTCCCAGTTGCCCAAAGTGACTGTTAATTTGAACCCTTTTTGCAATTTTATTAAAAAAGTTTCTGTATTTGAAATTGTAAATGACGTTTGTTAAAAATACTAGTTAAAAAATAAGTGAAATTAGGGCAAATCGATGATCTACATTCTACAAATTAAATTTTATCTCTAAATAGTTGTTTGTTACGGTCAGACAGTATGGCCACTTAAAACTATAATTAAAATTTAAAGAAAATTATAGTTGAGTAAGTAAGTATCTAGTTTGGTAGAGTAGGTCAATTTGAAAAATTATGTTTACTTTTCTCCTGCCTATAGTTTCCTCCAATATGTCAGTGCTATCCAATAGACCTAAACTGACCCTAGCTGCGGCCCTGTACTGGGCATGCTCAAACAAAATTCAATATCCATAACTCGTCCGTATAAACAAGCAGGATTTCTTCAAGTAAACAGTCTTGAAAATAACTGTCCACGCGTCTTAACTTCGAATATTACGGGAGTAAAAACTTCACCTGAATAAAACATTTTTGTTTTTGAAACTTCTTACCTATGCTCTTTGAAATGAAAGTTCAAGATTTATGAGTAGAAATAGACTTTAATAGCCTGACACTAAGGTTTAAAACTATAAAGAATATTATGTAAAATGCTTACTCCCTTGTACCATCTGAAGCAAAAACAATTTCGCAAATCCGATAAACATGGCGATAAAAAGTTTGGGTACCTCTGGTGTAAATATTGAATCGCAAACAATCACGCGCTTGAATTTATGCTCGAGGGTCTTGAGTTTAATCTTGTGTAGGGTTACACGATAGATTATTATAAAACTTTTTTATATTTTGTAACCGATTTTCTGTAAAATATACCCTGAAGGCTTTGGCACACTGGATGGGTTCTGCGGGCAGCGGCCAGTGCAAACTGAACGCAGATATATTTCTTATGCTAGACAAGTTTTTTTTTATGCTAGACAAGGCAGGTATTTGACCGCAATCGCACCTGGTGTTAAGTGAAATGCAGTCTAGGATGGATATGAACAACATTGTCAGTCTCTATACAGGGTGTCCCAAATAGTAATGTCAAGCCGAAGCCCAGAGAAAGAGCATCACTAGGGCTACCCAAATCAACGTGACTTTTGATAGTTTTCGAGTTATGATTTTTTTTTGCAACATACAGGATTTTAGTTTATATTCGTGTTATGGATGTAAATACTTCTGAATCCGCTGGGTCTAATATTAATTTAATAATATTAAAAATATCAGGCATGTAACTATTCGCGCCACACAGTGATCAAAAAAGTGCCTAAGCACAGAAATTTAAAACAATCATAACTCGAAAACTATCAACAATCGCGGAACATACATGGGGGTGATTTGGATAGCCCAAATGTGATGCTTTTCCTCTGGGCTACGGCTTGACACTACTTTTTGGGACACCCTCTAATCCCTCTATATAAATCATATTGATGCGATCTGATCTTGCGGGCACGTGCAAAGAACGCAAACCGCACGGTTGACAGATTGCCTTGTCACAACCGCTGACAGATTGTTTCGTCCGGACCGCAGACAGTTGCCCTGACCGACAATGTTCTTCATACGTTGCGGACTCAGTTAACTTTGACCTGACCGCTGCCCACTGAACGCATTCAGTGTGGCAAATCCTTCATTCCTTAATATCTATTGTTGAAAAGCAAATGAGTGCCGAAACTGCCCCACAAGTCGTATTAAAAGTTTTTTTATGGATTCTCTCCCCGTATCGCG